AATATGTTCTATTGTAATAGTTTCTTTTCTCACACTTATCGCCTGTGGGACTCCCTTCCAATTTCTTGCTTCCCTACACTCTTCAAAAATTTAAATGCAGCAACTATCACTATCTTCTGTCTTCCTGAAACCTGTTCTTTTATTACCCTTTCTCCTCACTAAAAGTTTATCATTTTCTTTCACTCCCAGTAATTCCATGCATCCTAGTAGAATTATTACCTTACTTGGGGTGAAATGATTAAAAAATAAATAAAGTTAGCCATTATATAAATTTGTTTTATTTAATTTATTAATGAATAGAGCAGAAAAAGGTGAATTTTCTATCATAGGCAATTAAATCAATAAATATACTTCAATGAAATGCAAGCAATAATTTAAAGAAATAGGATATAATGTGTTAATCAGATTTGATACTGGTTTAGTACAACAGTTACTAAGTTTTTAAGTAGAAAATGCTTGGATAATTTTTTAAAAAGAAATAGTGTGTTAAGGAAAGTCAACTTAAAAAGTTTTTCTTACTGTTGCCAGCTATCAGTTGTTTTGCTTAGATGCTGCACAGTATTCTGTTTCCCCTTGATATTATTGTGCCTCTTATATGTTCTACACAAACCAGATGTTGACCACTAGATGACTCAAAGCAAACTGCATAAATGCCAAGGCAAAGAAGACATTGTTAACCTCCACAACAATAACAACAAGATTCATTATCTAATGGTCTATCATATTAAGTGCTTTTCTACAAGTTTAACACCCATAAAAGTGATGCAGATAGATGTGTTTATTTTTAAAACTTTTCATTGACTGAAAAACAATTCTATTTTTTCATTTTAATGTTCAGCTGATTTTGGATATCATGAAATGATTTCTCTGATGGGTCTTTGTTGATTTTTAATTTCCATTGTGCTACAAGCTGTCAGAGTGGAAACTTCCAGTTGGATATTTTTTATCTCAGAGCTCTGACACCAGCTAATCTCCAGAGTGTTTGGATTACTAAAATAGATAGCCTATGTTAATTAGAAAAGAAACTTATGTGTAACTTTTTATTTATATATATTAACCACTCCTTCCATTGGTGTGTAAGCAAAATAAAAATATGTTGTGCAATTGACAACTAAAACATTCAGAAACCACACTGTGTGTATATATGTGTATGGTCATGTTTGTGCACACAGAAAATATTGTATGCAATAACAGTTTTTGAAGGAATAATTTGACAATACCAGAATGGATTTTAATTTAAGAGTGACAATAAAAAATAAAAGATAAACTTGAAATATGTCAGAAAATTCAAGCAATTTCAAATTGTCACCTTTAAAGGTTTAATGTAGCTTTTCAGATTCTACTGAAACAAATCAAGTTTTTGATTAATTTTTTTACAGCTTATCAACCCTTTGCAGGTTATTTAAAGCCAGAAAATATTTTGAGATTGTAAGAATCTTTTAGAGTTAATAATAATTTAGTGATACAACTCATACGTATTATAGATATTGCACAGAAAATAATTGGCTGTTCGCTGCTCTCCTTGGAGGACAATTCTAATATAAAATTATAAGAAAGTAATGCAAAATAATTAAAAGATGAATATAAAATAATTAAAATAATACAATACACTAAGTTTGTTTATTGCTCTTTCACTTTAGTGGGAGAATATAAAATTTGGAGGACAATTCTAATATAAAATATTTTTATAAGAAAGTAATGTAAAATAATTAAAAGATGAATATAAAATAATTAAAATAACACAATACACTAAGTTTGTTTATTGCTCTTTCACTTTAGTGGGAGAATATAAAATTTATATAAAAAAATGTAAGTTAAATGATTAATAAAAAAAAAGTGCAGATAAAAATAAAATAAGTATTATAATAGTCTAGGTTTGTTTATTACACCAGCTTTTAAAAGAAGTGTTTAAAAAAAAAATAAAAGAAAGCCAGATGGTTAATAAAAATTAAAGTAATTTGATGTGAAAAATTTATACTTTAAATTTTCTAAAAATATAATGGCTCAAAAAAAGCAACAAAAAACGTTAGTTAAAGACAAACTGGTTGTAATTTAATTTCCAAATTTCAAAAGACATACACCTTTGGATTTTTTGACCAATCAGAATGGTGACTTCCACCCACACAAATTTAAAAGTTGAGATTCACCTAGAGCCTATTTGGGAGCTATATATGAAGATGAGTTAACAGAAAATTTCAGAAGGTACAAGAAAACAGACAATATCAGAAGGTACCAACAAGTTATAAGGATATCAGAAGGACAAGGAATTTTAGCTGTCACCAGTCGATGAACTAGGCTGTTTCTTACAGAACAAGTAAGAATCAAAAAAGAAACAGAATCAAAGTGAAATCAATGAATTGAAAAATTTCTGATAATAATAATCAAACTGTGTTCAAGAAAAATAACAAATTTATTAAAGTCTTAGTGAGTCTGATGAATTGGCCAAAGCCTTCTCAGTTTCAACTTTCAATTAAGTAAGTTTACCTTTTTTGAATGAATGTATTTTGAACTGTTTTAAAAGGAATTATATTTTTTCAAGATTTTTTTGATTATTGAAAGTCTGTTGAATAATTTATATCTTTCTTATGAGTTATATTTTTATTTTTTGAATTGGTTATCTTACCTTAAATAAGGTGCAGAAAAAGACATTTTGTAGAAACTTATTTGTAAAACTTGTATATTTGTTTCATTCAAATTTCACATCAGAGTGTTGATTCTTGTTTGTTTTCATATGCACTTTATTCAATATTTGGGATAAGAGAATTGATGCCTTTTCTTCTCCTAAACTCCAACCCCCAAATCTTTTTATTAATTCTGCAAAGCATAAAGCATAATAAAAGACAACACACATCCCAGATACCACTTGTTTGAACTGTTACCCTCATTAACAACATTTTTAGTTCTATTAACTATAAGACAAAGCACTTGGCAGGATGACAGCTTTTATCCTTGGGCCCTGTATAAAATGAATGCTGCTGGACGCTGACAACTTTCAACGTTTATTTTTCTTCATTCGATGCTGTGCATGAGATATATATATATATATATATATATATATATTATATATATATATATATATATCTTATATATATATATATATATATATATATATATATATATATATTATATATATATATATATTTATTTATATATATATATTTATCTTATATATATATATATATTTATCTTATATATATATATATATATATATATTTTTTATCTTATATATATATATATATATATATATATATATTTATCTTATATATATATATATATATATATATATTTATCTTATATATATAAAATATATATATATTTATCTTATATATATATATATATATATATTTATCTTATATATATAAATATATATATTTATCTTATATATATATATATATTTTATATATATATATATATATATATATATATATATATATATTTATATATATATATATATATTTATCTTATATATATATATATATATATATATATATATATATATATATATATATATATATATATATATTATATATATTTATCTGTCTTAATGGTTAGAATCTCCGACTGACACCAGTTCAGTCGGGTTTCGACTTAGCTGGAGGCAACCGGATGTCTAGCCACACTGATGAGCTGTGAAACAGCGAAACAGTCTGTCTGTGGATGACGGTATATTGGCTCCTGAAAAATTAATTTCAGTTGAGCTCTCTGGGGAGGAGATGTGGGTTGGTAAACAGTGACTATTATAGCTATATAGCGAGACTCTTTGCTAATGCAAATTGAGTCATTCCCGGTCACTGGGCGTGGTTATAAAGATAAACACGCTAAAAATCCAGTTTCCTCCTACTGTGCGCCCATGGCTTAATGGTTAGAATCTCCGACTGACACCAGTTCAGTCAGGTTTCAACCCTAGCTGGAAGGAACCGGATGTCTAGCCACACTGATGAGCTGTGAAACAGCAGAAACAGTCTGTCTGTGGATGACGGTATATATATATATATATTTATATTATATATATATATATATATATATATATATATATATATATATTTATATATATATATATATATATATATATATATTTATCTTATATATATATATATATATATATTTATATATATATATATATATATATTTATATATATATATATTTATCTTATATATATATATATATATCTTATATATATATATTTATATATATATATATATATATATATATATATATATTTATCTTATATATATATATATATCTTATATATATATTTATCTTATATATATTTATCTTATATATATATATATATATATATATATATATATATATATATATTTATATATATATATATATATATATATATTTATCTTATATATATATATATATATATATATATATTTTATCTTATATATATATATATATATATATATATATTTATCTTATATATATATATATTTTATCTTATATATATATTTTAAAAAGTAAATTTGACAAGACAAAATAAATTTCATTTGGTCAGTTTTAATACTTTTTGCGTTAGAGGTATTTCTAATTTAAACAGAAAATATTGTCCAATATAAGTTATTCTCATTTAATCTTATATTTTTACTGACCCATTTAAACTTTTATTTTGTAACATAAAATTTTATTTTTATTTTTAAAATTAGTTTCGATCTTAGATCAGTATCATGCTCAGAAAATATATTTGCAAGGGGAATAACTCTAAAATTACAATGCATGTCGCTATGCCGATAAGTTTTAAAATATTTTAAATTATAATTTTAATTTTCATTAAACAAAGAACCATAATGTTGATTTTTTTTTCATCTTAATGTAGTAATTTCTGGATATTAACATTTAGAAATTAATATTTTCATATGTATTTTTTTGTAAGGATTGGTTTACGTTAAAGATGGCGGATGGATAGTTTACACTAGCAACTGTTGTTATTTTTCTTTCTGTCCGTCCTAGTTGACACGCTCTTAAATAAGAACAGTCTCTTTGGATTCCCGCTATGGCCTCGAATAAGGTACTTTTGGTCTTTTTATGCATTTCTTAAACTAAATAGAACAGGCTAATGTTTATCGTCACTTTGTATTTTTAAGGTAGATATTTTTTTGTGGAATTATTTTTCTTTGAAGGAAAAAAAACTTTATAAAAATGTTTTATTGATTCGAAGTATTTGCTTAAACTTAAACTCATCTGGCTAGAGCTTTTCTTTTTTTATATTTTTTGTGTATAAAACTTTTGACAATATAAGTTTTTTAATCTTTTTTTAACAACAAAAAATATCCGAACAGAGAAATAAAAAATTAAAAAAGAAAAGAAAAGTATCAGTAATTTGAAAATAAAATAAAAATTTTCAAAATAGCTCAAGGGAAAACATTATTAGAATATTTTTCTTAATCCGTGCCTTATTTCTGGAATAATTTCAGATCGCTCCTGCCTTTTATTCACTTGTTGCGTATTCAAACGGACATAAAAGACTCGTGTCAAATAAATTACACTTTCGCACTACCATAAAAAAAAAGTAAAACCCAACCAGAAATTTATAAAATGAAAAGAAACTTATTTTTAAAACATTTTTTTCAAGTTTAACTTCATGAAATTAATTTAAAATAACAACAGTTGGACTGTTGCAATTTTAAATTTAATTTACAAACACGAGCAATGTTTTTTTTTAAACTAAAGCTTCTGTAGTAAATAAATGTTTCTGCTGTTAAAAGTTTCTAAAAAGAAAGTCAGAAAGATAATGAAATGTATTATTTAAAATTAAAATCCACAAATTATGAAATAAATATTTAAACCAAAAAAGAGCTGAAGAAAAAAAAAAACATCGTTTGGTTGACACAGTTTCATGTTGGTGCGAAAGTGTAATAGCGCCTAAATAATTTAGGTGCTATTATTACATAATTTAGTAAATTAGAAAGTGGTTTATCCGCTTCTTAATTTATTCAAATTGTGAAATATTAAAAATTGTTAAACTGAAATTGGAAGACTTAAAAAATCAAAACAAAAAGTTGTAAAACTTCATCTAGGCTAAGAAAGTTTTTTGTTTTTTTTTCTTTCATAAAACAATATTAACTTTTTTATCAATGTGAATGAAAGTGAAAGAAGAATGCGTAAATAAATATTTGTTGAATGAACAAAAACTGAAAAATGGAGACAATTGAATTGAAATTATTATTCCTTCATTAAATTTAATTTATTTACTGGACTTCAAGAATATTGGAGATTTTAAGAGATTATTTTGTGGAGATTTAGCTTTTTTTCTCAGTCAAAAGCAGCGAACATAGTACATTTTTAACAATTTGTATGTATGTTTCCTATTCAGTATAATGTTGGAGAGTTATAAAAAAGCTTGGTTTTTGCTAATACACGAGATAAGTGAAAAAAAAAAAATCAATAATCGTAGGAGAGGAAATATATGGAATTTGGAAGGTTCTTTTTATTTGCATGATCTTGTGGCGGACTTCACCACAGAAACCAAACTGACATGAAGAAAAAGAGGATAAGCCAAATTCCAAAGATATCATTACACATAAAATTTGTATTTAACAAAATGTACAATGATGTGAAAGAAAGGCATGCAATGAGTAAAACAAGAGTTGTCTCGCTCCTTAACTATTAATTGTTCCAAAGTTCACTGAAAGAAATAAGGTTGTAATAGTTTCTGGTAATAAATGTTTTCAACAGTTTTCCTGTGTAAGAAAAAAGATTATGTGAGTATAGGGAATATTCAGCATGTGAGTGGTGGTGTGAATGAAAAGATTGGCGCATGATTTCAACTGTCGTGTATTCGTGTGGCAGCTGAAATCTCACTACTTAACTAAGAATATTCTTTGCTTATATAGGTGATCATCGGCTCCAAAACACTGCATGGGAAAAATCACTCTTCGCGTGCAGACAATATGATTGGTTGGCATTGATCAATCAGCAAGCTGGCTTTGGGGAGACTCCCGAAAACTTCTGGGATCAGATTCTCCCAAAAGTGAATGAAATTGATTGCATGAAAATATAGCAATTATAAAATTGTCCATTACAGAGTAGTCTTATTATCCAATGAATGCTTGTTGTTGTACAATTTGAATTTGCGCAAATATGTATATATGTGTGTGATGTTATAAAATAAAATAAGACATATCTTGGCTGATTTGCAGGCAAATAAACTAATTCGAGCGAGAGCCGGATGTGAACGGGACAAGGCCCCGTCACAAAATGACCATTATCGTCGTTTACGCATAAGCCCGACGCACGAGTTCCGGTCGAAAAATAAGACAATATTTTAAAGTGTTTCTATTTTTCGACCAATAAAAATGCTTCCCTCCTAATTATACTTGCGTCGTTTTACGAGCCTGTTAAGCCATAAAAAATGCCATAAAAGGCGTCACACGGGGAAGTACAACAGCAGTCAACAGGAGGCCAGGAAAGAGATCGGTCACGGTCGGTCTGAGCAGTCAGCAGCAGTCGCACCACGCCAACCAGCGAGAACTACTATGAGAGATCAACCCAGGTCGGCAGCCAGCTTATGAACTATACCACAAGGTAGCTGTCCCAAAACCACACGTCCCTATTGAAATAAATCACATAAATCTATTTCTGCTGTTGTATTTCTTTCTTGCAACCATATGCTTGTCTATAACAATGATCATTACAATCTCATAATCACTGCCAAGTAGAATCTTATATTTTTTTAAATTGATTTTTATTTTTAGATACGTTCAAAAAATGACACATGGACTTCAGAAGAGTTGCGAATGGCACTGAAGGTATCGTCTGTCATTTTCAAATTTTCCGGAAGTGTTCATCATTCCTTATCTTTCAAAAAAACTATATTTTTTTTTCTAACCTGAACGTGCATTCATAAAATATTGTTAAAGAGATGTTAAAATTTTTTGTGAAATATGATGTTATATTACAAAAACTTTCTTTTTTTTTTTTTTTTTTTTTTTTTTTTTTTTTTTTTTTTTTTTTTTTTTTTTTTTTTTTTTTTTTTTTTTTTTTTTTTTTTTTTTTTTTTTTTTTTTTTTTTTTTTTTTTCTTTTTTTTTTTTTTTTTTTTTTTTTTTTTTTTTTTTTTTTTTTTTTTTTTTCTTTTTTCTTTTTTTTTTTTTTTTTTTTTTTTTTTTTTTTAAACTAATTTTGAAACCAGGTATTTGCTAAATATGAAATGACATCTGACAGCTATAATTTGGTAATCAAAAACAACAAAAGTAAAAAGATGATTTGTGTATGAATGTGATGAACATTCTATCTACAGGATCAATAATTGCATTTTTAGCTGGCTTTTAAAAAAGAAAATGACTTTGAGAGAAATCCAAAGTGGGTGTATATAGCAATAAATAAATAATTTAGTATAAATTACTAAATCACTTCTAACACCTATTAAACTATGTAGTAGTCTGGAACCAAGAATAATTAATTAAGCATAAAAGAAAATTATAAGTTAAGTAACAAAAATACTTTAAAATAAAAGATAAGATTTGTAGTTAACAATAAAAGAAGAAAAAGTTAAATTATAAAAAAAGTTAAATAAAATATAAAATATTTCCATGGTACATTAGAACAATCGTTTTGGGCCCCATTGGAAGGAGGGGGGCATGTTATATGGCCTGAGCACCCAAATAAGTATGAGGTTACAAGGGGCCCACTAATGTTTATAAATCAAAGATGTTAAATCTGACAGGTGAAACAAAATAGACAAAAAAAAGGAGGATATTTTAAGATCAATACAAAATTTATTTACAATACAGACTATAATTGTCGTGGATAAGCATGTGAGTCCAATTGAAACCTAGCTTAAAAATGCTAGATGTTTGCAGTACCAGAGCCTCCTTTTATATGACTATAAGTCTACTAAAATAAGACAGGCTCCACACATAACTTCTGTTATATAAAAAAAAAAAAAAGAAAAAAGAATGCCAGAAAATAAAATAATTTTGGCCAATTAAAAAATAATACAAAGAGACTACATGTTAGCCAAAACCAATTTTCATGCCAGAGTCTTGGAACCTGGTTAAATGGGTATAAGCTCACACCTCTGAGCTAGACAAGGAGAGTAACAAGGAACAGGGACAATTCAGGTGTGACGTGTGAAGTAATTAAGAGATTATCTGTCAGTCATAGTTCTGCACTTCTTAGAGCTGAGAAAAATACAATAGATTGACACTAACCTATTTCTAACTTGACTACTACTATGAACAAGCTCTGACACCGAAACAGACATTTCTCCTGACCACTACCAATATCCAAACTTTATTGGGAGAATTAAATCTATAAAAAAAATGTAAAAATTAACTCTTTAATGTCTAATCCAAAGAAATTTTTTAAATACTTTACAAACAAAATATTAAGAAAATATAACTTTGCACCAGTTAGTATCTCAAATTAATTTTGATATTACTGTTAACTAAAAAAGAAAGACTTATGCAAATTTCTAAAAAAAAAATATTCAATCACCTTGAAAATTTAAAATTTATCTCTTAATTTCCTCCCCTTTACTAGGAAGAAGATGCAGCTGGAAGGATACATTACCACGAAAAATTATCTTCCAGGAAAAAAATAAAAGACACTGACGTGGTATGCAATTTCTTTCATACTTCTGTATATTTGCCTTTTGTATCATGAAATGGAAAGTAAGTCTTGAAACAAGTGTTTTTATCTTACATTCATGTAAATGCTTAAGTGTCATAATATTCCTCTTATATTTAACACTTTAATCTATGATTTTATCCATTTCTCTCTTTGTAAAAAGTTTAAATATTTAGCAAACTTGGAACTTTTGCACTTGCAAAAAGGACAGTTTTTCCATTGAAACTGCTATTATTTTAACTACCTTCACTCCTCAGCAATGTTCATTGTTTTAAAAAGTGATGATTAGAATTGTAATAAAACGAATAAGAAAATGAATTTATACATGTTTTTTTTTTTTTGGTTTGGTCATTCTTAACATATTGTAAACAACACTACTAACAAATTAAGCAATATTATCACTAATTTGAATGGCAATCTATTTCAGTATTCAACTTACCAGAAATTTTCATTTTATGAAAATAGCCGAAATAGCCTTAAAAACCTAGTAAAAAACTATGAGGTACTCATCATTATTTAATATAATGACCTAATTGTTAAATATATTTTGTTTGACAATATTAAAAATGTAACAATACAATTTTTATGCATAATGTATTGTCCAAAATTGTATCACTTTTATTTTTTTGTTAAGTGACTAAAACACTAAAAAACATTTTTTCTTAGGAAAATAAAGGGAACAAAAAAAAACAAGATATAGCCAGCAGACGGAAACAATTACGAGAAGAGGTCAGTAAAAAAACAACTTTTAAGAAAACAAGATCTTAAATGCTTTATTTTATAACAAATCTTCAAGTGAAATAATTTGAGTTTTTTCTGTTTAATTTGTGCTTGATGTAACCTTATATAGGCCCTATAATTTCCTTGAGATTCTTATAAAATATGATTGGAAATTTCTTTTGAAACACTTTGATTTTGTAGCAAAACTAGATACAATTTGTAAATTCTGAAGTTAACTTTCTTAAATTTTCTAAGCATTCATAAAGTCTAAGCGTGTATCACTCGTGGCACATAACTGACTGACTTGTGTAAATGGATAACAAAACAGGGATTGGGAAAGATAGGAAACGGACTAATATTGCTTAGCGGTACAAATGATAGGAAGTTGTGGAGAGTTATGATCACTCAAACATTGCTTAAAGCTACAAAGGATAAGAAGTTGTAGAGAACTATAATCAAGGAATATATCCCATGAAAGCAGAATATTTTACACATTTCACTTTTACAAGTATTAATTTTTAAATTTAAAAAATTTTGTCTATGTCAGACAAATTTTTATTTAGTTTATGAAATGTAGTTATATTATTTTTTTGGATGTTCTTTTTTTGTCATTAATCAACATTCCTTTCTACAGGGTTAGTGGAAGAAAATCCCTATTTCAAATTGTTCATAACTTCATTAATTATTGGTTGATTTTCATAAAACATATTTTGAGCAGTATAATGGTAGAAGTACAGTACAATGTAAAAATTCCACCTTTTGAACATTTTCTTCCAATCTGAATGTTGAAGGACAACCACTTTTGTGGGTATCTACCACAAATCCTTTACTTGTCAGCCTGGAATAACAATTTCTGATAGTTTTAGCATCTATTGAAGTAGTGCTTCAGTAGATGCTAAAACTGTGTCCATTAACACTGTTATCTCTGCACTTGTAGCATGGACTGCCACTCTTCATAACAAGATGCTAATTGAGCATGCTCATGCAGTGTCAGGCTTTGTGCCATTCTGGGCTACACTTGTCACTCTGAAATAAAAACAGAAATTAGTAATTAAATTCTACCACTTTAGGGATCACAATATATTTTGTTTCATGCAAAATGTGGTGATATTAACAAAAGTCATTTTCATTAGAGAGTTTCTTAACAGTCAACCTTTATTTTATAGAGTATTTACATAAGGCATATTTTCTTTCTTAAAGGCTCAAATACCTGAGCCAGTAGATATCAATTATACTGTTTAAAAATTAGGGATGTCTACTCAAACATGCGTATCCACTAAATATAATGTTTATAGTAATAAGAAATATGTGTGTTCTCTATAGTCAATTTGTTTAACAATCAGTGGCTTCAGGTTGTAAGGGACCATTTTTCTGATAATATCAAAGCCTGATGATTATCTAGAAATATACTGATAAATGTTTTTATGAACAAAATTATAAGGTTTTATAAATTAAAAACAATACAATGTAATAAAAATTAAAAATACTTAAATTCAGATGACGCCCTATCAAGTTTGTAAACTTATTGTATCTTATGTTGTATCTCTTGCTTTGTTTTCCAAAATCATGTTCTAATTATTTGAAATTATTGTTTGCAGGAAGAGGAAGAAGCTAGACAATTGAAAGAAGCCAGGAAGGCCAAAAGAGCAGAACAGAATGCGAAATCTCACATACTCACAGTAAGCAAGCTGAACAATAAACTTCATTTCTTATTTCTTTATATTGATGATGACAAGTAATTAAAAAATATTCTATCCTTGCACTTAATGTGGCTTTAATAGTTAGCCTAATAGTTATGCAAATTATTTGTAATTAATTTATTGCTCACTAAGTACATCCAGGTGTATGATCTTGCACAAAAAGAAATAAGTGAACAATTAATAGTATAAACTATGAAATTTCTACTAATTAAGTTTTAGTTTTAGCAAATTGATCAAAGTTAATGTTGTATTATGCAATTTTTCTATCCCACCATCATTATCATAAGTTCCATGAACAGGTAGGATTGTAGAATCACTGCACATCTGAGCACCTGACTAGTTCAGGGTTAAAAGCTGAAGTTGTATTCATTCATGTATAGCATGTTTTGGGCAAGTAGACTTGATGGAACCCATCCCTTTCTAGGTCAAACCACAGCTCATATCCTCCTACTTAAAGGTACACCTCTGCTTTGGGCATTGATTTAAGTCTGGAAATCCTTCAGCGCAGTAATGTCATGTCATCACTGCACTGGCTGCATGCATAACTATATTGAATTTTCCTTCTTTCATTGCACAGTCATACATCTACTGTACAACAATGTTGCACCTGACAAAGTATGCAAAACAGGCAACATGGTTTGCATGCTTCACAGATAGTTTTACCTTGGAAATCAGTCCTGCTTGTAGCAATGTGAACCCATTGCTTGAGAAGAAACATAATGTGTTTGTGTTTATTAACTATGATGGGAATAGTGATTTGGTAGACACAAATGAACTACATAGCACTTTCCCTTTCTCCCAGCTAATGCTGAAAGTAGATGATCAGTAAAAAGAATTGGAATTAAAAGAAAAACACTGACATCTGAAGTGGGACGACTGTTACAGGTAACACATCAGAACTGTCTAGATGTGTTGTTTAATATCTAATTTGGCAACTAATATTAATCCATGTACTATGAAGGATTTTGCAGTCATTGCTAGCAAAATCATCTAAATTGTCATTGAAGTATCAAAATCTGAATACAGAAAGTAAATTACATTTAATGATATTTAGTGATGCTGCTTTGGGGAATCTCCTAAATGATAGTAGTCTGGGACATTACATGAAGAATGAAGAAAGTTGATGAAGAATCAAAAAAGTTCTATCCAATTTGGTAGAACTCCAAGAAAATGTTGTCTACATATTGTGACTGCAGAAACAATCTAATATACATGTCTGAAGCAATTAGCAATTTTCATTTTTAAACTGTTTACAGAATTCACAACAGGTAAAAGTAATCCTTGAATATTGTCCGTAGTTTGTCATTGAGATACAGAGTGAATTAAATGTAATTAAATACTTAATTAACAATTGGCTAATTAGAGTGTTTAAGCTGTATAAAACCAAAAGACACTTAGTAGATTGCCTTACTAAGTTTTTGAAGCATCACCTTTGATATTAGGAAGTTTGCTTCAACAAGATGTAATACAGAACTGAACAAAATCAAGATAACAATTAACATTATTAATTACACTTTTACTTCAAAGTATCCCATCTACATTTGATCTAAAACTACTTAATTTGGTAATGCGATTCATATGAACCTGAAGAACAAGTGCTGATAAATCTCGTTTTTGGGTTTTTTTGTTTTTTTTTAAACATTTTAACAATAATAAAACTATAAGCAAGATCAAATTCACTATTTTACATTCTCCTAAGTACTAACAAAAATGTTACTAGGTATTCAATCAGTTATGTGCCATGCATGATACACGCTTAGGCGATCATATATCTTTTGATACATGACTTTTTCCCACAGTAGGTTGCTATTTCTTTCTGCAGTAGACCAGTTGCCATCCAAGGCTATAGAACCCTGTCTGTCCTGCTATTTACCCATAGCTGGGGGGAGAAGAGGAGGATTCATACCTTTCCCAAGGGTATTAGCACATAAGTGAACATAATGGAATTCAAACGTGGCTCTCTGATTCCTCAATCCAAGTCACTATCTATTACTTCACCGTGACTCCCTAGGTATTAGACATATGTAAACCAGTATTATATATGTATATATTCTGATTAACATTCTCATTAGTATTATCTTTAGTATTATATACAATTGGGGTGCTGAAAATTTCTTGGCCTGACCCACTTCCCAACAACTGACAAAATGACCAAGCATTAGATTTTTCTTTTTTAAGGATTCTTGGTTGAACTGCAAACTTTTCAGCACCACCCCATAAACAATTTATCATTTTCTTCTGTGAAACTTATTTTGGCACTTTTTTTTTTGTAATGATATTTATGACACTCATGATTATATCTCATTTAAGTACCCAAAATAGTAAATACATTCTGATAAAAACTAAAATTATACAGAATTGTAGCTGGTAAAGGCACTTAGTGATTCCATATTCTTAAGTTTGTTGAAAAGACAATATTTTTTCTACTTTTCTTCACATAAATATTATATCTATTCTTAAATAATAAAATTGTGTATACAAATAATTATCTTTTTGACAAATTATAATTATATTCAGTTTTTCAGTGCAAATAAAAAGGCTTCATTTTTCTTTGTGCATTTGTATTTTACAGGATGAGGAAGAGCGAAGACAAAAAAGGCAGAGAGCAAAAGAAAAGGCTCTAGAGGAAGTAAGTGTAGTCAGCATTATGATTAGATTGTTAAACTGCTAGTTTGAATCTCACATGATAGACTGATGAAGTTCACTATCAAAAACTTGCTTCTAAAAATGAAAACCAGTTTCAAAATAGAGAACACTTCCTGCTGTCTGTGATCATTGCATTAGTTATAAAATCTGTGATATATATCAAGTAAAAATATCTACTACTGAATACTAATTACAACTATGCCTGATTTATGATTCATCTTTAAATATCCTCCTTCAACCAGGAAACGTATTGCTAAGCAATTCTATCTCTTAAGTGTTGTTACAATAAACTATTTGTCATACCCAATTCCAATTCTTTAATTCAAATGGGTAGTGCTCACTTAGACATCCACAGCTCTTATAACAAAAATAAACCTTAATTTTGACCAACTTGCACACCCAACCCCCAGAATACTGTCCAAAAATGCTAGGGTCATGAGGCATCTTTTTGGCCAATCAGAAAAAGGCTCGTGCAGTTTTCACAGCAGCCATTATGAGCCACTGACAGACTATAGAGCCAACACTGTTTTCACCCACAAAGGCAGATCTGACCTGGCTGGCATTATTGATGACTCACAGCAACCATCTTAACTGAGCACTGCAGGCTACATGATTGCACAGGCTATCAGTCATGACCAACAATGAAATCAACAGCAGCAGAGACTAACTCTTGACTACACGTGTGTTGATTTTCTCACATGTTTATCTCAACTACTACCTTGTATTATACCCCAAATGAACTCTCAGTTTTCCACAACTGATATGCAATACTCTTGGAATAAGCAAACAATTGAACATTGTAAATCACTGGGAAATAAAAACTCTTTTACTTGTCTCAACCTTATGTCAATTTGTTTTGTCACTTCCACTTGTTTTGTTAACAGTAAGGCCATCATTACAAATTTAAACTCTTGAATAAATACTCCTTTTAGTTTTATTCTCCTTGCTCACTATTAAACAACATGCTTTCTTTCATGCTAACATTTTTCTTAGAAATAACCATAATTTGCAATAAAGTGGTGCATATTTAATTTTGTAGAGTCAAAATCATCGAACTTATGCTTGTATAATCCCTTTTTAATAGATATCAAACAACATCTAATTAGTATGAGATCCTGAGCAATGCATTTTTCATTAAAACTTTTTTCATATATGACATTGCAAATATATTTAAATTTTTCAGAATGCCGAAGAACGAAGACAAAGAAGGCATGAAAGAAAATTAAAGGAAGGGAACTTAATAGACGATGTCAGTAATATCTTTGTCTTGTTTTTCTTATTAATCTTGTTGTTACTGCAGAGAAAAGTATTTTTTAATTTTTTTTTTTTTATTAACTTCATACTATTAATATTAGACTTAATATAATTTCCAAGCCTCAAACTGGGACAGTTTTCACTTTTTATTATAAGTTTAGTTTTCTCGTATAATAATGTTTTCATGATCCAACATCCCTTAAGCTTCAGAACTGAGGCAGAAAATGAATACAGGTAGCTTATTTTATTAGGACTAACCTAGAACAAATGGTAATCTTATTAATATTTGATTCGAATTGTTTCAATTATAAGGTACACTTCTTCAACCTTGAGTTTGTTTCTTTATGAAATTATACTTTTTATGTTACTTTCATTATTTGAGCCACATTGTTTTGTGCATATTTTCTAGCAATAAGAAAAGAAAGCCATGCTATGCTAAGTAGGTTGTCTGTCCAATTTTTCTTTTTTCATTATATAAAATGGTGCTTTCAAAATCTTTGATTGTTTATCAATCATTCCACCTCACTTGCTATACTCTTCCGCAGCACATATGAGGTGCACCATACCGATTGGGAACCACTGATATAAAGTCTGGTAATAAAATGTGAAGATAGAAAATTACATCGTTATTAAATTTAGTTGAAGTAGCAACAGCTTCATGAATCTTTAAAAAACACTTAACTATTAAATACATTTATAAATTTAAATATTACACACTTGAAAAATTATGGACAAAATATCATGTAGCACTTAATTTAGGATGTTTTTTATTTGTTAGAAGAAAAAAAACATTATCACAGTATGCCTAAACCAATTTGTATTGCAATGAAAGCTCCGACTGCATCATTATTTTTTTAATCAACAAATTGAACAGCAGCTCTTTGTATAGGCATCAGAATTGACCTTGTAAAATTTTAGTAGATACATAGTTTGCCCAAATAGAAATTTTACATATACATACTAATTCAGAAAATTATAGTATTTAAATCTTCCCAAAATTAAAAGTAAATAGGTTTTTTGTTCATGATTATCAAAGGATATTTTTCTTTGTTATATATTTATCAATCCAAAAGACAGTGAAAATATGGGCTCATACAGAAGTATATTTGCTTTATTTATATTCATTTTCATATTCAGTAGTTGATTACAATGACTTTTTTCTAGTTATATTTCCTACTCTTTAGAAGGATGAAGAAGAACACAGACGAAGAAGACATGAAAAGAAACTGAAAGAAGCAAATCAAATAGAAGACGTAAGTGCTCTTTTTTCTTTTTATTTTACTGTTCTTTAAGTTTTCAACAGCAAAAAAAATTAGTTTACAAATACTTAAAATAAAATGCAGACCTGTTTTTATGCCAAATTTCATAAGAGTAACATTTTCTTTTATTACTTGTGAAATTTTTTCTGACATATTTTTGTGATGGTTTTAAAATAAGAATGTAGACACAAAAATGAGAACAAATGTAATATTAATAATGTATATAAAACTTTGAATAAGTTTTCATTTACATTTTCATTTTTGCATTAACATATGTCAGCTGCTTCTCTTTCTCTAGAAAGAGGAACAAAGGCAAAAAAGGCATGAAAGAAAAAGCAAAGATGACAAACTTATTGATGATCACGTGAGTTTTTTTTTCTTCCAATAAGAATCGATATCAAATTTAGAAACATTTTTATGCTTATCCAAAGTTTTTGTTAAGTTATTGCTTTATTATTTAACTGGAAATAAGAGTTTAAATTAATGATTTTTAGAAATACTGATTTTTTTTTTTTTTTTTTTTTTTTTTTTCTTTGAAACCATTCTTGATACATTTTTCTTTAGTCAGCAATTATTTTTAAGCAAATATCAAAAAAGTTAGAAATTAAGTATTCCTGACAGAATTTTTGGGAATTATTATTTTCAGCTGATCTTCTGCCTTGACCTAAATTAAGATGGTTCTTTCATGAATTTAGTGGCATAATTTCAATTTCAACAAGGCTAGCAATAACTGAGCAGTCCTAAAAAGAGAACAAGATGTGGAATCTCTAGACATGAAAAACACTAATGTAGATTCAATAAGGTCTTTCAGTTCCAAATTCCCTGATAGGCACCTAAAGGAGGCCAGAGAGCACAATGGTAAAAAAATTGTGATAATGAATTAGTTTTCAATTTACTACCCTAAATTAGACTATAAAATTGTACAATTTATTCTGCTTTAAGGTCCTTTTCAGTTATCAGGGTTTATGCAATGTTATTGCATTTAGAAAAAGAAACAAAGAAGTGGAAACAAATAAAAATGAATGCTTTAATAAATAAATAGAATATCACAAAATAATAATTGCTTTCTACTAATTTTTTATGAAAATAATAAAGCTAATCCTCTCTTGCTATTTGTGAATTCTAGCAAACATGGATCTTTATACCAGCAAAAAACAGTGTCAAAAAGACAATTTTTCCATTGATACCACTATTATTTTAACTACTTTCACTCCTTGGCAAACTTTTTTGTTTTAAAAAGCAATGATTAGAATTTTAATAAAGCCTAAACATATGATGAAAGTGAATTTATATTTCTTTTTGTTTGTTTTTGAGAATTTAAAACAAAAATGTTAAACACATTTATTAGCTTGTTTATTTACAAGAATAATTTGATATTTACAACATTTTGAAAACTAATACAATGCAATATTTATCATTTACCAATTTATAAAGAAATAAATATGAAAATTTTTTATTCATAAATTTATACACATTTATTAAAATATGTGAATCAGTTATGAGACAAAGCTTATCATTTTATAAAGTTTGATTCAATTGGCAATTATCCAGTGTTTTGCCAACCATTCCAATAAAAATTATAATAAATAGTGTAAATAAACAATCTAATAAATAGTATTATTTTTGTTGTCAATTCTCAAAAATGTATAAATTCACTTTCATATGTTTAGGCTTTATAACAATTCTAATCATCACTTTTTAAAACAAACATTACCAAAGAAGCAAAGATAGTTAAAATAATTAACGGTGTCAAGGGAAAAGTATTCTTTTTGACATGGATTTTTGCAAGCATAAAGATCTAACTTTGCCTCAATTTTTTAATTCTGCTAATATTTTTTTTTTTTTTTTTAAGGATGAGGAAGCACGTAGACAAAGAAGGCGAGAACAAAAAACAAAGGAAGACAGTCTACTTGTACATAGCATTTTAAATATCTTCTCATACTGATTTCCATTTTAATTTTGCTTTTACTTGTTCACTATTTATTTTATATGCCAAATGATTTCAAAATCAAACTGTATAAATGATTGATCTTTTATAAATATTAATCTTAGATTTGGAATTCACCGACTAATTTCTCTTTGCTCAATTTTCACTAATATCTTTATCTTCAAAAATATATATTTAATTTATTCACTGTACCTGACATAAATGTTGAAAAGGCTTTCATTTGCAACTACACTGAAATTTTAACATAAAAATATTAATCACATCATCATTCCTGTTAAACACTGACAATGTATGTGAAAAAGTTTTAAAGTTAATTTTTATAAAGTATGATGATAGTTGTTTCAAAACATTATGTGAGATGATTAAGCTATGTTTTGTTTTCATTTTTTTTTCTTTGAATAACATATCCAAATTTATTTTCCATCAGGATGAAGAGAAACACAGACAAAGAAAGCAAGAACAGAAAACAAAAAGTAATGCTCCTAACAAAGTTAGTGCCACAATTTCTCTGTGATATTTTTAATCATTTACTGATATTTTGACTTATTGTTTTATAATCACAAATACACAAAAATTGATTTTAATTACAAATGTAGTTTTAGTAGTTACAAAAATTTATATAAAATCATTTATGATAATTACAATTTACAAGTTACCCAGCATGTTGAGAATACCATAAATCTGTTAAATGAGATAATTTTAAGGGGAATAGAAACTACAAAAACAACTAATAACAATCAAAAACAGATGAAAATTTAGGAATCCCTGATAAGGAAAGAACATGTGGAGAATTTAACATTCCCAGAGAATAGTGTAGGCAAAAGAAGCAAAGGAAAATAGCAAGTAACCTATTTGATAAATTTGAGCAAATTGAAAGTGAAACAAGTACCACAAAGTAAAAAAAAATGGTTCATAAAAGAGTAAATATAGCTGAGAGCAACAAAAGACAGTTATAAAGAACTGTGATTACCCACAGTCAGAAAGGATATGACACACAGAAGAGAGAAAACCTCTTTGACAATTTTGAGGAAATTGATGAAGAAACAAGTACAACAAAATCAAAATGATCCACAAAAGAAAGAAGTATTTCTGAGAACAACAAGACAGGAAGTTGTAGAGAACCATGAGTGCCCACATACTGAAGAGATTTGGCACATATAAAATTGAGTAAATGGATGGAGAAATAAATTCCATAAAGACAGACAAATTCCTAAAAGAGCAAGTATTTCTGAGAACTGAAAGCTGTAGCAAATTATAATCACGTAGGGACATGCCAAATAAAGAAGCCTAATTTATATTTCTATTATTTACTAATAATTAAGGAACAGCACTCATTTTCTACACTTGAGTCTAGCATGATGAATTAATTAAATATATTTTTTTGCACTTTTTCTTTAGGATGATGAAGAACGTAGGCAAAGACACCATGAAAGAAAAAGGGAAGATAAAGACACTGAGGGAGTAAGTGTATGTCTTTCTGATTTTTATTTAATACTAACTATTGTTTATTTTCTAGAAACTGAATTTACAATTCTTTGCCACTTATTTTGTTTAAGACAGATTGTAAATAGACAATGGGAATAATATACTCTTAAATAGAGTAAAGGGTTTTAGATAATTCTTTTAAGGTTCCAAGATGTGACATACACTTGAAGACATCTGTCAAGGACACTAGTAACATAGGTAACAAAGTATAAAAAAAAAAAGAAAAAAATTGTGTACAATATATTGAAAAAGATAAAATCTCTTTGTAGCAATTTGACTTTTTTATTTACGTTTTTAACTTCATATTCATTGTTTGTTTTTCTTTAGGATGTTGAGGAGCGTAGACGACAAAGGCGTGAAAGAAAATTGAAGGAAAAAAACCAGGAAGATGAAGTAAATATTTTTTTTTATTATCACATAATAATTATTAATTTGTATTGAAAAATGCTAATATTAGTGCATCACTTAGTTATGAAATAGAAATTTTGTGATCATGTAATAAAGACAGATGATAGAATCAAGAACCATGTGTCCATGACCAAGACAAGCCTTCAAGTCAGGAGACATCAGCTGTAGTCTGATATGAAGAGGGATAGGCTCCGCCAGGTTTACTATTCCCAAGACACATTACACATGAATGAGTACTTCAATAACACAGTTATGTTGAATCATGAAAACATTATTATACAAGAAAGAGAAGGATGATAATGTGCCTTTGATGTGTCTTAGGATAGAATAGAATGATGTGTGTCTTTGAAAAAATAAGAATGTTATTTTTAAAGTTTGCAGGCTAATAATGACTTTTATGTCAGGCTTTTGTTGTAAGTGTGAAAAAATGATGAAATATATTAAAACTTATTTGCCTTTTATATTACTTGGCTTTCTATTAAAAGTTCAATCTGGTAACCCTGCCCTTTACTGTTGTATTTCTGCCATAGATGGCTAGAAAATGCACAAACATATAGATATTTAGCCAGATATCCTCAAATTTGTGAATTTAATTAAAAAAACAGAAAAATGTCCCCAGACCAAGTCCTCTGCAATGATGTCAAACATGAATGACATTTTACTTTCAGAGAAACTGCAGGTTTTTGTGTCTGTTTCGAAAGACATTGAACCATTTCTGATAAAATATCAGAGGAATAAACCATTGCTTCCTTTCCTTGCAGATGATCTTTTTAGCATGAAACTGTTAAGATTTGTAATGTAAGAGCACACTAAAAAGATAATTGCATTTTCCGAATTGAATGAATTAATAAGAATTTTGTTAAACGCAGAAATATGCATAAAGATGCTGCAAAGCTCAAGTATGAATTTCTGGCAGATAGGGCTATGCAAAATTTATCCAAAAATGTGTCAACAAAAGACCTTTGTATGCAGAATTGCAACAATGTTCATTACTGTCATTGAGAAATTTCTGGCAAATTCTTCCTTAGATACTCTCTTGTAAGGTCATTTGCCACAGAAAACAGTCTAAAAAGATGTCTTTCCCACATGATGAACACTAAACAAGTCAGCAAGTCTGATTGTAATGACATCAGTCAGTACAAAGAGTTTGAGAGGAGGCTGATGGAAATATTGCTTTCAAGAATTTCAGCAAGCATGAAGACTGTCTGGACACTTTGTTCTATTCTTCTTTGTCTAGTAACAAAGAATATTAAAACCTGTGGAAAGTTGTTTGCAAATTACTGGTACTCTCTCATGGACAGGTCTCAGTGGAGAGAGGTTTCTCAGTAAGGAAATTTCCACTGACAATATGAAACTGCAGACTCTAATTGCACAGCTCATTATCACAGACTATTTGGCCACAGTTGGAGGTGCTGGAAATGTTCCCATGACTAAGGCTCTTTTCTGTAGTGCTTCCAATGCCAGAACAGCATACAACCAATAACATTGAGGTTGAGAAGAAAAAAAAGCAGGAAGAAGCAGCTGGACAAAAACAGAAATCCATTCTTATGGAAATTGAAAAACTGAAGACCAAAAAACAACTTGAAAGTTGCACACAAGATATGCTCAAGTCAGCTGATAGCTATGTGGAGAAAGCTAAACAGACTCAGAACTTCACATTTATCACAAAGTCTAATGCCATGTGAAGATCTGCAAAGGACAAATCCATAGAAATATCAAAATTGGAAGAGGAGCTGAATGCTAAACTGAAAAATATGTTAATATTGTGTTCTGTGCCATGTGCAACAAAAGCCATGAGTAGTAGGGATAGCTAAAATGTGTAGTCTTTTTGTGAACATTTCAATTTGTAGTTCTGTTCACTAACACCACTATACATAATTTCACAGGGAATGTGCAGCAGTAAGAAAAAGTGTAATTCAAAATTTTCAAGTGTAGTAGAACTCCAAACTGTGTAGAATGCTACACAAAATGTGTAACATAACAAGGTCTGCATTCAGTTGTGTTTTAGGAGCCTTCAACACTTTCATTTCTTCACTGCTTTCAATTGATCCATGTGATATGAATTAGTGAAACCAGCTGTAGCTTTTCTTTGAATATCTCATCTGTCAAACTATTAAAAGATAAATCACAAAGTTTGTGTTTTTGAAATTGATGACCATTCACTTTGTGTGCTTATGTATGCGTGTGCCAGTTTCAGTCCTTGAAATGTCTTAACATAGTCCTTGAAATTCCTGGAATTTTTTTACACAGATCTGTGTAACCCTGTGTTATACTCTGCTGCAACTTGGATCTCTTTCTGATTCACTGTATATCAAAATCTGTCGGCTGGATGTGAATGTTATGAAAGCAAAATAAAAAAGTATCTCTGTACAAGGGCCCCAAGCATCACATGGAGCCAATTACTAACATTGCTGCTAAATTAAATCAAGACAAAAAATGTTAAGTCATGTCGGCTTTTAAGGTTTCTGCTCCTGACACTGGCACCACCCATGGCCTCAGTTAACCAACACAAGCTTCAACACAAGGCCTGAACTAACTCCCCTGTCTTCTGGGTCAAATTTTTATTTTAACACCTCTTGTCTTTTCTTTCGACTTCACTGACAATATTTTGTTGTCTTTGTTTGTTCTCAGCTACCATACACAGTTTATAGCACTCACAAGACATGCAGAGGGAGTTGGTCAGGGGTTCAACTGTGCAATGACCATAGCCAGTCATGAGGCTGCTGATGATGAGGAGGAGGAATAATGTCCAGTTTTAATTACACAACAATGTGTGCATCTTTTTATTATGAATCCTTTTTGTGTCTACTAAAGCATTGGTTTACTTTATTTTTATCTTTTGGTGGTCTAAATTGTTTATTCTTATTACCATCACCACTACTACTACTAATTTTTATGACGGCAGTGGATAACAATGATGATGTCTGCTCTGCCAAATGAAAACGAGAACTGAAGTAATAACTGGTTGATGACATTATGTTGATGTTTGCAAAGACCAAACTGAGATGCAGATTCCCATCCACAAGTTAGGCACTGAATGCTGACACCTGGTGGAGGTGGCCCACACACCAGGCGATCATGACGTTACTGGTGAAATTCCTGGTCTTGAGTTCAGGTAGTTTCAAATCTTTCGATGACCTGGCGGTATAGTGTCCTCCAACTTTTGTGATTGACTGCTCTAACTTCCTGCTCCACAGAATTAGTACCACACTGTTTTAGTATTACTTTCAGGTGGTCTTTGAAACATTTTTTTCTGTTCTCCAACATAGCACAGGACTTCCAAGTGTTCCCTATATATGTTATTTTACTCAGTCATCTTCTCAGTTTTTTTTTTTAAGTCTCGCAGTGTTACTTTCAATTCACTAAACATTACTATTTTGTCTTTCTGAATAATAGCAGTTGTTAACTTTTTAAATTCACATGGGAGGCCTTTTAGGACCATGGCTATAAGCAAGTTGTTGATGTTTTTAATAAAGTTGTAGCATTTTCAGCTCTCATAATATAATCCATAGTACTTTCACCACTTGTTTTTCTATATAAGAGGAAATTTTTTTTGGCTTTCCTTTTGATAAGTAGTGTTCTCTGAAAATTTGCAATGCTTTTCTGCCATTGTCAGGGGCTTCTCTCATAATAAGAGACAAACTTTGGTCATTGAGAAATTGAATTAATTTGGTAAACACATTTGCATTCTTTTCTCAATACTCTTTGTTATCAGTATGGTCATATGGTGCAAAGAACAGTGGTGGTAATTTTTGGATTCTCATGTATCTTAAAAATTTTACTCCTCATAGTTCATATTTGGGTTCATCACCATTGAAACGGTTTATTTCTGGGCCCATAACCTGTCAAGTAATTGGCCACAGTTAAATGTAATTGGCAGAAATTTACAAACAGAATTGACAAAGTTTGCAATAAACAATAACAAGAGAAAGAAAAGAACAGGGCAAAAATAATATTAAGCAAGCAAACAATATATACAAGACAAAAGTAGGCAAAGCAACAGTAATAGGGCAAAAAGTTTGCAAATTAAGAATGGTGCTAACACACAAAAGGGATACAGACAAGCAATTGCAGTGTTCTGACTTCAAGACAAAAAAGAACAGAAGTGGCCAATCTTATTGGCTAGGAAGAAATTCCAGCATGCATGTGTATGTTTTGTCTATAAATCTGGGGAAGGGGATGTTTTTGCAGTCATTCCTATTAAAATTGGAACCACTGTCGATACCATCTTCTCCTTTTCCTCCTCTTTCTTGACAGCATACTGTTGTAACCTAGGAAAGGTTACTGAATAGAATAATCACATGAAGGTTGGTAATGAATGATAATAGTTAGGGCAAGAACAACACATAAGATTAGCCAGTAGTGCATAGAAGTAGTAGTCAACTGCTAGAAGTGAATCAAGTGAATTCTACAATGAATCTCCAACTGCAGACCAACATACAGTATTTACTACTGTATTAATATGAATGGAGACATACCCTTTATCATCCATAGGTATGCTACAAGACATACTATATTAACAAACCATTGCTATAAATTCATCTCTATCTTGGTATTCAATGAACATAGCATTGTATAAATATCAACTTAATTCAACAAACAACCAAATATATACAAATTACCATATTTTTGTAAATGATATCAAAATTTGGCCTTTATACTGACCTTCAGTCCATAAATGTTGCTGCTTTTCCCCACCCCCTATGAAATGACTAAATTTTTCAGTAAAAATAATAATAATATAATCTTTATTGTTATATTTGTTATACAATCTCTTCTTTTATTACATTTATTTAAACTGTTATGCACTTGTTTGTTACTTTTAATGTAACATTTTAGTTGTTCAATCCTTCTTCAGGTAATGTCATGCCTCTTAATCTTAGATATGTAAGAATTGACTAATGAAAGCATTTTAACAATGAGAGGGATATAAAAAAATATGGATATTGAAAATTTTGAAAGTTTAAAATATACTAGTGTTCAAGATACATACTGCAGGTAAAATAAAACCAATAATGCCAAGATAGTGATGTAAATCAAAATGTTTTTTTTAATAAAAAAAAAAATTGTAAAACCATGATGAAATCCATTTTATTATTGCATTGATCTTTTATTAAAACATCCATCTTGCTTCTGTGTCTGTTTCTATATAGTTTTACTTCTCAAATGATAAAATTTAAATGTTTTTTACCAGAGGTCACATTGCAATTTTTGTTGTGAGTGCCAGAGAAAGACACTCCTTATTACTGGTTCCAGAAAAAAGCAATAGTAACAACAAAAAATTGCAAAAAAAAAAAAAAACATGCAATGATAACAGCAAAAATTGCAATATGAGCACTGGTAAAAAATGATTGCTGGAGACATTAGGTTTATTGTCCTCATCTTTGTCTCCATGTTTATCCCATATTGTCGGACAAAGATGAGGACAATAGTCCGAACAATGTAAATAGGGTACATAATACCTCATCTCAGAAATATAGACAAATAGGAAATGTTTATCAATCTATGTTGTAAAATATGCATTTTATTGAAATATCATCCATAAATAACGAAATTTAACTCTAAACGTTTGCATTAAGTTACATTTTATTTTCACATTAACATGTTCTTTGAATAAGAGGTATGGCAGGCATATTTAAATCCTCTACTCTTCTGTTTGTGTTATTGATTTCAAATTATTTGTCTTTAGTACTGGTTATTTTTGATTGTTCAGGATGAGAATGAGCGAAGACGAAGACAACATGAAAAGCGACAAAAAGATGGAAATGTTGCAGATAATGTAAGCCTTTTTATTTATCATCATTCTTTTTGGGTAATGAAATCCAAAGATTTCCAATTGCAGAGAATCAAATCAAAAGTAATCTACCATTTATGATGAAACAATTTGCATACTTTGTGTATAGTTTTTTAAAAATTTTTACAAAATGAGATTGCCCTGTCGACTGAGGCTTCAGAATATGCAGAGGGTTAAGACTCCCTCCCTTCCAATGAGACCACCTGTTTGCCCTGGATGGTGACTGTAATGTCTGGGGACAGGATCCTGGTCGTTGAGGGCTTCAGGAGTTGGGATTACTTCTGATTCCCCACACACCACTTTGGCCCTAACTTGGACTAGATGGGTGTTCAAAGAGGCTCAATCCAATTAATCTGCTGGCCATGACAAGCCCTAGCACCTATACCCATATCAATTTATGGAGTAATTTATAACTAAATACAATATCCCAAATATATACTGGGATAAAATACCATCTCTATCCAATTTATAGGTGTTAGAAGGCATTGGCTGAGGATCAATTGGTTTGAAGAGATCTAAACTTAGACATGGCTGTAAACATTCTATTTTGTACATTTATTTGGGAAATGCAACAAATAGTTTAACAGGTGCTCAGAGTCACTCTAGAATACAAGTATACTGGTTGCTGTAGTCCTCACCTGTCAAGACGACTGGGTTTTCCTCTTGACATGTCCCAATGTCTGGCTCCAAGGTGGGTGGAAAGCACAAGAAATGAATCTTAATACACAAAAATTATGTAAAATCAGAATAAAATAACCCAAGAGATGTCTTTCAGACTCTGATTCTGAAAAAGAAATTAATACAGAATTTCCAAGATTTTTTTTGTGCTCATATCCCAAGAAGAAATTCCATGAGCAAAACTTTCCCCTTTCTTGATTGAAAAGGTAGTATCTAGTAGGATTAATCCTAAAACAGTTAGAAAGATGAAAAATGACAAAGATGAGGACCGTTCATGATATCAAAATTAGAACCTTCCCTCATGCAATACTGAATACTTCTAAGGGAGTCATTAGAACTAAAGAGTTGTCTCTGGCCACACCTGAGGAGATTACATCTACCTTAGGAAACCAAGGGGTCAGCGATTACTATAGAATCTCAATCAAAAGAAAAGGGGAAACAATTATAACTGACACATATATCCTTACTTTTGGCACACCTGAAATCCTTCCAAAAATAAAAATAGGGTACAATATTGAGCCAATGGAACAATATATCCCTGCTCCACTAAGATGTTTTACGTGCTAAAAATTTGAACATCATACGGACAGCAGCAGGAGTTGCTCAGCATGTGGAAAATGTGTCCAAAGGGATTCAGACCATACAGCAGAAGAATGCCACAATGAAATAAGATATGCTAACTGCCAGGAGAGCCATCCATCATACTCCAAAACATGCAATTTCTGAAAAAAGGAAAGGTAAATTGTTGAAGTAAAATATAAAAGAAACATTTCATTTTTCAGAAGCACGGCAACTGGTAGAAGGTTATATGAATGGCCTTTCCTATGCAAAAATAATGAAAAATAAGACTAAAAATAATGCCAGTCACCCTGACAAATACGGAACCCTCATTAAGAGGTTCGTACACTTGGGACCAAATGAGTGGCCCAAATTTCAAACTTACCTAAAAAGACTATTTCAAGGAAATGGTGTAGGCCGAACCACAAAAGAAGGACAATGTAAAAACTAAAATAATAAATAAAGAAAAAACAAATAATAAGACGATGACACAGAACACTCCTACCAAAAATACCAAATCTCCTACTAAACAAAGGTCACAGCGAACTAAGTCCACCAAAACCCAGGAAAGACAAAATAAAAAGTTTATCTCCCAAAAGAACAAATTCAAGCAAAAGTAGGAAATCTGCAATGACCAAATTCCTACACAAAACTTATTTTGATAAACTAAAAAAATGGAGTTTGAAAGCCAGAACCCGCAAACAGCTAAAACCTCCAGAATGAAAACCTATGAAAAAAGAAATCAAAACCACATAAGCTAAAGGCTGAAAACATTTAAACAGCCATGCATAAGATAATTCAGTGGAACTGCCATTGAATAAAAACAAATATAAATGAACTACTTCTATTAATAACAGACCTGTCACCGGCAGTTGTTTGCCTTCAGGAAATATTCCTTAAGCAAGGTGACAAAATGCATTTAAAAGAATACCAGCAATACAAGCATACACATGACACTGGGCTTCATGCATCCAACATTACATCTATCCTACTTAAGAATGATGTACTCCAAAGTAAAATGAATTTGACAACTACATTACAGGTGACTGCTGTTAAAGTGATCCTGCGTAGGCCAATAAACATTTGCTTGGTATATATGCCACCTAATGAACGAGTAGATGATATTAGGGGACTTTAACAGTCACAGCACCAAATGGGGTTGTAAAAACACAAACAAAAGGGGAGGACTTTAGAAAAAATTATAAACAATGATTTATGTATTTATAATGATAAAACTCCAACTGAGATAAATCTATTTATGCATATGTGATCTATCAATCTATATGGATTTCTCTTGGAAGGCTCTGGTGAATACATGTGGTAGTGATCATTTGCCAATTGTTCTGCAACATTCAGAACATAATGATAAAAATCCTCTCCATTGAAAATTAGGTGGAGTGAACTGAGACAAAATTGAAAACCAATGTTCTGATAAATTAACTTAAGGTAAATGCATCAAGGACTTAAAACAGTTTACAGAAATTCTTATATCTGTAGCAAAGAAATACATTCCAAAAAGTTCAGTACAAAAAATATAAAAGACCTTGGTTCAGTGATGAGTGTAAGGAAGCTATCAGGTTCAGAAGAGCTTTCAGAGATTTCAACAATTTGTTAAAATTTAAGCAACTCCAAGCAAAAGCATGGAAAATAATTAAGGAAAGCAAAAAAGAGTGTTGAAAAAAAATTACGTCAACAGACTTAATTCTGACACAAAAACAAAATCTGTATGGGATATGATAAGGAAAATAGCTAGTAAACATCATACTAACTATAAAATGTCTCTTGATAAATAACTACAAAATAACCAGCAAAAATGATATTAGCCAAAACAATCCCCAAAAACTCATCTGCCAAGAATAGTAGCCAACAATTTCTAAATCTTAAACAAAAAACATAAAAACAAAAATTAAACTTTAAATCAAATAACACTGAGAGCTATAACCTACCATTCAATATAGAGGAACTAAATGAATCTTTAAAGAAAGCCCATAATATAGCTGTGGGACCAGATGACATCTACTATTAATTCATAAAACAGTTGCCCAACAAATTACAACTGTTACTAATTTTTTATAACATATGGACAAGTAGCAACTATGTAAAACTATGGAGAGAATGGTCAACAACAGGTTGACTTGGTACTAAGAAACTAATGGCCTAATCAGTGACTACCAATGTGCTTTTAGGAAAAAAAAGTACCATAGATCACTTAGTATGCCTCAAAACCATTGTGAGGTAAGCCTTCATTAAGAAAGAACATCTAATAGCAGTATTTTTTGACTTAAAAAAGATGTACGATACAACATGGAAATTTGGTATCTTGAAAGATCTGCATGAACTGGGTCTAAAAGAAAGGCTGATTCAATTCATAGGGAATTTCTTGAAAGACTGGAGGTTTTAAGTTTATATAGGAAGTATGTTATCAGAATGGCGAGATCAAGGTGTTCCACAAGGAAGCATTCTTATGGTGACACTATTTTGTGTAAAAATTTAACATATTTAAAACCCTAATCCCAGGAATGAGAAACTCTCTATATGTCAATGATTTTCTAATTATGTACAGATCTCGACATATGAATACCATCGAAAGACAGCTCCAACAATGTCTCAATAAAATACATAAATGAGCCACTGAAAATGGGTTTATGTTTTCCATTACAGGTGAGACAGAATTTTGGTTGACAGGAGCTTGACTTCCAAAGGCCACCTTCTCTTGGCAAGAAGAGGAGAGGTGACCAGTCTCTCCACACTTCCAGCATGCAGGTTTGCAGCTGGTTACACTGACCAGCAGTTTCAGGCCCCCAACATCCAGACAGTTGTGGATGGCAAGGAAAGCTTAGTCTAACATTACATGAAAATTCCACTCCCAATCAGGCTATTGCAGGTCACAACCAGTATCTGGCAAGAAGAAAGCAGCTAGATGTTCCTCGATATTCTAAGGAGAAACCTCGAATATCGCTACTCTGGTCCTACACTTGCCTTCATATTCAGTTCTTATAATGTGATTTTTTTTAATGAGATACCAACTGGTCATTTGTACACCATCTTCAGGTGTAGGTAGCAATACATCCCACATGAAATAGCCCAAACCCTTTACTATCTTTAGTGGCTTAACCCCCAAGGACTCTAGTGATTTTGCTACTGTCTCTTTTGTGGAGTGACAAATTTTGCATGAACATTTGTCCACTATAAAAATTGACAATATTCTTTTTCTCAATTTTCTTAAGTTCTTGGGGGTGTACCAGAAGTTCACCTTCTTTTACAAGGTGAACGTAACTCTTGGCTCCCTCCAAGAACTCCACAATATTGATTATACATTTAAGTGGGGACTTCCAGCAAGAGGGCGAATCCTCAGCCTTATCATTGTCCTTCTTTTTGTCTTGAGTAACAGTATGGTCTTCCATACTTTCTTCATTATTAACAGTTTTCTCATTTCTTGCATTTTGGACATTATCGGCCTCCATACTTTCTACTTTTGATCTTTAGCCATTAGTGGTCTCCATATTTTTTATGGTTTCTTTAAGAGCAGGGTATTCCACTGCATCGTCTTTATCTGGTGGATCTTTTTTATTGGTTGGTTCAAACAGCAGTATTGCAATAATTTTTTTTTCTTGTATTAAATTATATATAAATAAAGGGAGGGTTGGAGGAAGGAAAATAAAATTAAAAACAAATATACTGGATTAACAAATAAAAAATAAAATTAAATGACAACACGAATTTACCCCGAAAGGTTTATAAATACAAAAACAAATTATAAAATGCAAAAAAACTGGTTTGACCAGCAAATTAAAATTAAGGATCAAATAAATTAATGTGAAAACCTTCCAAGAGTTACCCAGAAGTTTTAAAAAAAAAAATACAAAATGTAAGAAAATATAATATGAAAAAGAAACTGGTCTGACCAGCAAAAATAAAAAGAGTCATAAAATTAACTCAAATAATGCTAACAGTTACCCAGAAGTGTTTAAACAAAAAGCAATATAAAGAATTATCAAAGACATGAACAAAAATGAAATCACCCGAAGATGAGGGGAAAAAAATAGAATTTGAAGAGGAGAGTACGAAGAAAAAAAAAACTGACAAGAAAAAAATTCAAAAGTTGAAAATTTATACAAACAGCATTTAGTCTTGATACAAAATTAGACAGAAAAGTAAATAAGACTGACTAAACCTCTGTTCAGTGTTTTATTTCAAACTATGTAAAGAAAATAAAAATGCAAATGGCTACCAGAAACTCAAATAAAACAAGGACTGAAAAGATAGAACAAAAATTTATATTCAAACAAGAAAGTATAAAAAAATAAAATAAATCAAATAAACTTATCAGACTGTTTTAAGCCAAAGACAAATTCTTGTAACTATTGAGTAAAAAAAAATGAGAACAAACAGCAAAATTTTATCCACAAATGTTGATGGTACTGGTCGGGAAGAAAACAAAGCAGTCAAACAACACATGATCGAAAGATCATCAGGCCATCATCTTTTTCCTCACTCCAGATCTGGACTGAGGTTATTTACCTTGCCTCTCCACAAGTCAAGATGTGGCACAAGGCCGTTTTTTTATGTGGAGGTTAATCCAAGCTTGTAGGCTTGGGCAAAAATTCCCCATTGACCCTGCATACATGGGGTCAGGCTTGTCTATCTCCCCAGATGTGACTCTGCTCTTCAGCATAGCCTCATCTGGGTCCCTCTCTGCCTTTGGGCAGAAAGTTCAACAAGTCTGCCCAAACCACCTGAAACAGCAGATCTGGACTGAGTCAAATCAAATTGTAAACTGACCTATTTTATTGACTAAGAAAAAACAACCCAGCATGCATTTGTGGACTTCTGCCTATAAAAGGGAGGGTTAAGTATTTTGCAGTCATTCCTCAACAAAATGAAAGCCTAATCCTGTATGGAGCAATGTCAGCCAAATATTTCTTTGTGGCAAGAAATGTATCACTTTTTTGTTTCAGAAAATAAACCATGATTAGGCCAAAATAATCATCCATGAAACAAAGTGTATATTTGAAGCCATTCAAAGAGCTCAGTTTGATCGGCCTGGCTAGATCACAATTAAGAAGGTCTAATATTTGATTTGCCCTTTTGTTGAGTAAGTTGTTTTTATACTGTACCATTTTGCCTTGGATACATATTTTACAGTTTAAATCTGACTTATCAACAATTTTCATGCCTTCCACAACTTCTTGTAGCTGTATAATGTCTTTCAGATTGCAATGTCCAAGAACTTGATGCTACAGTTTCAGGCTACATGTAGCAGTCTTGGAGGTTACTGCAATATTTAAATAATATAGGCATCCATTTCTTTTTATGTTGAATTTTACACTATTAGAGTAGATAAGTTTGGAGTAATTACAACCAAATTTTACAGAAGCTCTTTTTCAGTAGCAGTGTGTAGCAAGAATATACTTTGTTTGAATGTAGGACTATAACTGATATGGAAGGAAATATGTGAGATTGCATTTTAACGAATGCTCTAGCATTTGTTAAAATGCAATCTCACATATTTCCTTCCATATCAGTTATAGTGATTTGAGCATCACCCCTTTTTAAAGCAATATTACTGTTTCAGCTACCATCTGCCAGTTCAATATGATGATTTTCAGGATTAAAATCAATATTGAATGTAAGAAATTTAGATTCATCAGTAATCACATGCGTGGTAGCACTACAATCAACAAGTAACCGTTTTGTTGGAAATAGTGTCTAGTCCCTTTTGAAACAGAAATGAACATTCATTATCTGAAACATGTTCCACATTTTTTATGAGATGAGGTTTCTTTTTGTTTCTGCACTCAGTTCTTTTATGTCCAGGTTTGCAAGAAGCAGGGCAGATAATATTTTTGTTCAGTGGATTGGAATTATAGTGTTTTGAGGGGAAATTATTTACTGGGTAATTCCAAACTTTACTTCAGCAATCAGGGCTTTTATGCCCAAGTTTACGACAAGTAAAACAGTTAGGAACATTAGTTTATGGTTTTGGTCATGGCATTCGGAGAGGTATTATGGTATTTTCACTGTTATTCTCCTGAATAATCTTTTCAGTTTCTTTGAAGCTTTGCAATGCTACTTTGAATTCACTAAATGTTAGTAGCTTGTCTTGCTGAGTAATAATAGTTGTAAATAGCTTGAAATTGGAAGGGAGGCCTTTAGGGACCATTGCTATTAGTAAAGTGTCAGTAATTATTTCCTCAGAAATCTTTAATAAAGTGGCCAATTTTTCAACCCTAATATAATCAGTAATGGTTTCAGCACTGGCTTTGCATAGGGATGTTAATTCCGCATACAGGGAAATTATTTTGGGCTTTCCTTTGAATAAATATGTTAAATATTATTTTTTAGAGTGTATCGCTGCTCCGACTTCCTGGAGTTGACCTTCAAGGTCAGATGGAAGACAAAACAAGTAAGTCAATTTTGATTGGCTGAGCCAGCATGAAAACGATAGAGAAAGGTTTTCAGTGAGTTGAGTCTGAACTGTCAAGCAATGTAAACATGTTTCCTTTCATCTGAAACTGCTGTCCAGTGGAGTGTACAGTGACCCCACTGGAGATTTAGAAATGTAAACATCGGCAACATTAATAAAATAGTTAAGTTTAAAATTCCCTGGGTTGATGTGCTTTATCTCTGAACTCAAGACAATTAGTGATCACTGGCCAAGAGAGAAGAATGCAACTTTGTTATTGAATTGACACCATCGACCAAGACCGCCCCCATCAGAGAGAGTATCCACCGTAGGCCCAAATTGGCACAGTGACCAAGACCTCCCAGCATGAAGGGGCTATCCAATAAATAATGTTCTCTCACAAAATTTGTAGTGCTTTCCTCCTGTTGTCAGAGGTTTCTCCCATAATAAGTGCCAAATTTTGATCATCAAGAAATTGAATTAATTCAGTAAATGTGTTTGCATTCTTTTTGCAGTAGTTTTCATTATTGGGATGGTCAAAAGGTGCCAAGATTGTTTTGTGTAATTTTTGGATTCGCATATAACCCCAAAATTTTATTTCCCATAGTTCATATTTCAATTCATCACCATTGAAACAGAATTTATTCCTGAGCTCATAACCTGATGTGTTAGTAGCTATAGTCAAATGCAAAAGAAATAACAGAACTGTTCAATAAACAGAATTAACAAAGTTTGATATAAAAGAAAAAGGGGCAAAAAATGAAATAATATCAAACAAGCAAACAATATATGCAAAAGCAAATTCACAGGTAAGAAGGCAAAAAGTTTATAAACTACGAATTGGCATCTATGCACAAATGCATGGTCAGACAAGCAAAAACAGTGGTCTGTCTTTGAGATAAGGCAGATCTGGACTGAATCAAGTCAAATTGACCTATTTTATTGGGTAAGAAAAAATATCTTAACATGCATTTGTGGACTTCTGCCTATAAAAGGGGAGGGGCAAGTATTCTGCAGTCATTCCTCAAAAAAATGAAAGCTTAATCTTTATCGCAGCATTAGGGACATGGACGGTTTTGAATTCAGAGTTGTTTTTCTCTTATACTGATTGTCAACCACAGCTAGATTCATACAATCCCCAAAGGCATTTGTGCATGTGAATGCAATGAACTCTACTAAAATTTTAACTCAGCTCTTTAATTTCTCATACCAAGACACTATTCATTTACATCACCCACACATCTGCACTTTTTTGTTACTATGGTTCACTCAAGGGACACTCAAGGTTACTGACTGAGATTGCTGTAAAGGAGGGAGAAGGAGGACATGTAGGATAGATACCAGATAACACTATATTTGAAGAGACCAATATTGTAGTGACCAGAGAAGCATACTCCCAGGAGTCTGTTCCAGTTGCAGTTCTTGAGAAGAAGCTGTCTGAATGGAATGTCCTCCTTAGAAAAAGAATATGAAGGGAATAGAGATTATTTGCCACCATGAAGATGGCATAACAGTGAGGGCCTGAGCTGGTGGGACTAAAGAATGTAACTCATTTGAACGTTTGCCATAATAAGAATAGTTTCATCTTTTGGTTAAGGATTGCAGGATAGAAAATAATTCTTCACCCACAAGGCAGCATAATAACTTTTGAACTCTTTTTAGGCAGGACAGTGAAGACTTGGTGGCACCAACCCAGATACAACAGCAATAATCCATTCCAGGTCAGATCCAATTCTTGGAAAAATTAAAGTATGGCAGCAGGAGTTTTCTGAAGTGATAAAATGAACTAACCATTCTTCCAGCATTCTTAGCAGGAGCATGAATATATTTTTAAGGTCTACTCAGTGGTGATGAAACATTAGTAGCTTTGTTTTGGTGGTATTGAATGATATAAGCTAGTTTTTCCCCCATTGAGAATTGGTTCAAAGGAGAGATTAGCTACCAGTCACTGGTCATTCAGATATTTGGAAGTGTACATATTCACCATGGTATCATCTGCATATGTATTTACAAAGGATCTGAGAACGTTCTTAAGCAGATTGTTAATGTTCCAACCGGATTGTTTCTTTTAGTTGTCTTAATTCTGATGCATGGTACTCTCCATTAATAGTTTTTCCCTTTTCCAGTTAGTCTATCATGATTACACCTTCAGAATAAATTAAAAAAAAGAAGCCAACAGACACTATCTGATTGAACGTTTTCAATAGATTTTGACATTTATTTTTTAACTATGTTTTTTCAGTATGAGGAAGAACGAAGACGAAGAAGGTATGAAAGGAAATTGAAGGAAGGAAAAATAGCAGAGGAGGTAAATTTTATTAAAGTTATAGCTGTATGATTCCTCAGTTACTGGATTAATTTTTCAGAATTGCTTTCAATTTCCTGCCACATGGAAGTAATCAAAATCAATTCATGTTTTCTCTCTGCTCAATGTTCTACAATCAAAATATCTTTTTCATTGTTCTAATTCTACAGTACATCAGTTTCTTTTGTTATTTCTCAAAAATTTTATTAATATTTTCTTGTCTTACTATCAAAGATGGTAAGAAAATAAAAATTAAAGTTTTTCATTTCTCAAAATTATTCAGTGTTCATTAACTTAATTATAGTGTGTTAAAAAATAAAATGAAAAACGTTTTCAGATACTAAAATAAGTTATGCAAGACACAAAAAGCAGTTTTTATTCCAAACCATTTAATCAACTCATGATTAATTATATTTTTTATGAAAAGGCAATATTACTTTTACAGTGTATTTACTTACTTTTTCATATATTTCATTCATTAGTACAAGATAGAAATGTCTTCATATCCATGTTTTTTTTTTTTGTGTTTGCTTGTTTTTTGTCTTTGCTTAAAAATAAACATCAATTCTGTAAACCTTACTTAATGGTTACTGACCAAGACCAATATTGCTTAAATTTTATCATGTAAAAGCAATTGTTTTAATTTACTATTTCACTAATATCAATTACACTTATATTTATTTTTAAAAATAGTTATTTTATATGAACACATTTAATTCTGTCTTGCATCTTTAACAAATTACCAGTCTAAATAATAACTAGAGAAATTGTATGCCGAAATGCTGAAGACTTTTTTAAAATTTTATTTTTAGAATTCCATATAGTGCAAACAATATATTTTCAACAATATATGAATCTCCATGTATTCAAATTATTTTTCCTACGTTGTTTAATTTTCACTATTATTTATCTTTTCTGGTTGCAATGTTTTTTCTCAATGAGGATGAAGGAGATCATAAACAAAGAAGACAAAGAACATTGAAAGAAGCCAACATTGCAGATGTAAGTATATCATTTCTGTATTTAAACACTTGTTCATATCTACATATGAACATCATATTTTCTAAAACACCTCATTATCACAATTTCATTATTGACCATGGATCTAGTAATGGTTCTACTAGAATGAAAGAAAAAACAAACCCTATCTATATTTTTCAATAAGGCTAAATATTTGACAAGCTTGGAATATGCTTACTGTAACCAGTATTTAGCAATAGACAATTTTATACTGCCTTTTTATACTGCAGAAAAGAATGGTAAGGTAAAATATTTTTCACAAAGAATGTTTTTGTGCAGTTTCTAACAATCAATATTTTGTCACCAAGTGTGTATAAATTTATTAAAATAAACCATTATATAAGTGTTTAAATAAGTATAAATCTTTTTCTGTATAAATGTGAATTTGTTCTATTCTTAAATTACAAAATTGGGAAATTCCATGTGTCTTGCAAGTTATTTTTGTATTTTTAGAGTTCATCTTCATAAATGTTTTTTTCTATATGCATATTTCTATAAGGAAAAAAATAGTATCTACATTTTACATAATGTTAGCCTGAAATGAAGCTGCATAGTTCCAGGTTAATACTAGTTAAATGTAGTTTGATATCCTTTTTTTCTTTCTTTTTTTTTTCTTATAGAAATATGCTAAATCCCAAGTCATAAAGTGTTGGCATCTGACTGTAAAAATATGCACCCTTAAAATCTATGGTGAACCATATAAAGGGATTTTAGCAAATAAGCAAGAATTATTATAGCCTTAATGCTTTTTTTTATGTTTTTAAGGATGAAGAAGAACACAGACAGAGGAAACAAGAACGAAAAAAAAAAGAAAAGAACCGGGAATATGGGGTAAATGAATTAAAAGTGGCAAGAATTTTTTCTGTTCTTTACTATTAACTGAATTTTACCTAAATTAATTTTAGATTTTTTTTTTTGATTTTTTTTTTTTTTTTATTTTATACAGTAAGCACAATGCTCATCATGTGCAGTCATTTTTTTTTCTTAATACATCCATCCCAGCTGGTGAAGAAATTGATATTGTACTCCTTATCTCTTGTTTAACCAATTGGCGTCAACTCATTGACAACACCTGCATGACAAAAATAAGCTGTCAAAATGATCTTAGCATTGCTCAAACAATGCCACATCTTTTTCAGATGTCAAAATTCAACATTTCCAATGATTTTTATTAATACAGGCCTTCTAGAATGCAGATTATGTTCAATAGATTCCCAACTAAGTTTGAAACATTTCTATCAAAATTTTATCTGAATTCTCATTGAATTATCACTGAATGCCTTCTTAATTATTCAAATAATTTCTCCAGATAAATGTCCAAGTTTCAAGCAAAACATGATATATATTTGCTGATCATTTATTGTTGATAGTAATCTCCCAGTACTTAATGGTTTCTCATGGCCAAGTGAGTAACCCAACAGGAGAGAGTTAGTTCATGCATGCACTGTAAGGTCCTCTCTGATTGGTTGTCATGTTTATCAAGGCCCCACAATCAGTTTTTGAGATATTTAAACTTGCTGGATACTTTCAAGACAGACTTTGTATTAAAAGATAGAATAACATGGAATAAAAAGAAATACAGGATCAAATCCAACCATCAGTCTACTTTTATTGCTTATTCAATATATATATATATATATATATATATATATATATATATATATATATATATATATTTATGTAGATTTTCAATATATATATATATAGAAAATTTACATGAAAAGGAACAGTTTGTCTAAAAAAAAAAAAATCTCATCATTTTTTTTTTTTTTTTTTTTTGAAAGCATTTCACCCGAAGCAAGGGGTTACAGAGAGTTAAAGAATATGATAAGTCTGATAGAAGAAACTGTTAGTATAGAATTTACAGTTACATCTAGCCATTTTAACTGTAAAATGGTGAGACCTTACTGCCAATCCAGTATTGTGCTTAAATTCCCAAGGTCTACATACCATACTAGAGAAGAAAGTTCATTAGAACAATTACCATGAAAGTATTTATAGAAAAGGGACAGGGAAGCTATATTACAGTGATGGGAAAGTGACTGAAGCTGAGATACCAGGTCAGAACCTATAACATTGCTGATTCTTCTTTGGATTTTATCAAGAATCTCTAAATATATAGCAGGAGCACCATACCATATGTGGCAACAATATTCAAAGGAAAGACAAATGACTTATAAATATGTAAGAGATTCTGGAGAGAAAATTTGTCTAGCTTAACACAATGAACCAACTTTCCTGACTGCAATTGATTTAATATACTCTTTCCACTTCATGTCAGTGGAAAACATTAGTCCGAGAAGGTGCAATGAGTCACTCTCTTCTCTCATGGAAGGTAAAAAATTCTTCTCTCAGACAATTAAAAAGAGCAGTTTGATTTTGAAGGCATTACAATTAACAAGCCACTCCTTGCCCCATTTAATTGATTGTAAATCTTTTTTCTTTCTGATCAGCTTCCAGTTTGACCTTATGAAACCAACTTACTTAATCAAAATGTGCTAAAATTTTCAAACATAATTATAAAATAACATTTATTTTTCTTTAAATTTTACATTGTATATAGATTCCAGCTTAATCATTACTGATAACTAAACTCATCAAAATTATTTTTGTCCAGTTAATAATTTATGAATTTCTTTACATACATTGTTGCCTGTTATCTAATCAGATTATTTTTGCAATTTCTATTAAGAAAATTGATTCTGATTCTTTGATGATCTGTTTGTCTTTTTAAGTTAACACAGCATTTCTTTAATTTTGGATATAATTTCAGGATGTAGAAGAAAGGCATCACAAAAAGGAACAACAACACAAAAAAGAATCAGACAAGACAATGCATCAAGTAACATTTATTTTGTTGAGTGAAAAACTATTTACAACTATTATTCATGAATCTTTATTGCATTTTATATTAAATTTTTAATACACTTTCATTTTATTAACATAATCAACATTTTTTTAACTTTTGTAATTTGTATTTTAAGCTGTTAAATCTTTGTCAACAACCATATAAAAAGAGCATAAGTAGATAAGAAATCACTTCATTTAAAACTAACTGAAATAAAATGAAAGGTTTTTAGAATATTACACTATTTATAATAAATTAATTTCTTTTTATTAAATTTGAGTTCTGTTACTTTATGGCTACAAATATAAAAGGTTTTCATTTTTAGAGTCATAAAATCAAGTCAGCAGGAGACAAAAACATTGACAATTTAAAGAAAATAAAGAAGAGTAAACATGAAGGGACAGATTATGAAAATGACAAGAAAAGAGAAAAATTGGCAAAAGGCGACATAAAGCCAACACAATTCACAGACAATTTGGTAAGGAAAAAGTTTTAATATTTTTATAGATTAAATTTACTATTCAGAAGTGAAGTCAAAAGCTCATTTTTTTTTCATTTGTTGAATGTAAAAATTGGATCTGAATGTAAAAGGTGCTTCTGGTAATAAAAATGGTTGAATTAAGCCAGTCATGATTTTGAATTCAATCACAAGTTCATGCCTTTGTTTTTTTGTTTCTTTTTTAATACAAATTTTTTTACACTTTTATGTTATAACCTTTCCACATTTTTGGCAGATGGAGTGAAATCTTAAAAATGTTACTATTTCATTTTTCTATTAAACAATGTTTTTTTCTCAAAACAAATTAGTATTCCTACCATTGTTTCGAGATAAAATATTTTTTTTAAGAGTTGACTTTTCTTTTCGCAAAAGATATCAAATCTCAGTTCTGACTATTCATTTAACCACCTCTCTATTTATTTGACCAAGTCACTATCTTCTGTTGCTCATCTCTTTTGCACACCTTCAGAGCTGAATCCAGGTAAATAAGTAGATGTTTGTTCATATTAAGATTTTTAGCATAATTTGCTTCATAATAGAAATATCTATGGCACCAAGATGTATAAGTTTTCTGATTTCATTCCCAATTTCAAACATAGTGTTAATGATCAACATGTGTAAGTTTTTTTTTTTTCTACTATTGTATTTACATGCCTAATAATTTCTTTGCTATTTTTGAGTTTAGATTATCTGAGGGAAAATCATTTGTACCATTATGTATCTTATTATAAAACGCAGGTTGTGTGTGTGTGTGTCTGTAACGTTTATATGTTGGATCGAATTTCCTACATTTTTTAGCCGATTTCAACAAAACTTCACAGGACTACATAAAATTACCTTGTGGTGGTTCTAACGGGGCGAAAATGGGGAAAAAATACAGTTGTTTTTTAATAAAATCAATTTGAAAACACGATTAAGACACATCATGAGAATGAAAGGGGAGAACTCACCCACGAAAATGTAAACAAAAGAGCATAGCATGATGAAAAAAAGATAACTTGACGAAAAACAAAATTTTATCGTCTAATGTTCATATTATTATTAAAGAGGAAAGATCAAAGTATTTTGGGGATATTTTTTTACATTTTTTAATCGTTCCTAGCACGTCTGAAATTTTCGTTAAAAATATTTTTTTTTTTTTTTGATCAAAAAAAAGGGCAGATAATCATTTTCAATCATTTTTTTCGATTTGATAAAAAAGATTAAAATCTGACTTTGATATTCTTTTAAAAGTCAATTATCATTTTTTCAAAACTGATTTTAATAAAAACAGATATTATACTGTTTATTTAAAATATTTTGAACCAAGCTTAACTTAGCTTCTGCACCGAAAAAATGTAATTTGAAAATAAAACAAAGTAGGTCATAACATTGACGATTGACAAAAGGCACATTCATGACGTTTAGATAACTTACGGGAGGAGAATTCTTTCTACGGATGGAAGGAAGTGAAATTATTTAAGTGAACAAATTATTTACCTTGTTACTTTTAAGGAAAACTTTCAGCGCTCTAATTTTTTTTTTTTTTTACTTAGCTTTCATTTTTACGTTTACGATGCTTTATGGAAAATATAAAGAAATTAAAAATAAGACTGTTAATAGTGAAATTAAATTTCATAAGAAAAAAAGGTATCTAATTAATTTAGGTACCTTTCTTATGAAATTTTATCAGAAGTGTACATAAAATACTATAATTTTATGTACATTTATTACATTTTACTGTGTTATTTGTATTTCCATTCATTTTATTATTAATTTTGATATTTCATTTATGGAAAAATGTCATAACTGAGATTAATATAAAAATAAGATCATATAAATTAAAGTTTAGTGGTAGTTAAATTTCATAAGATGATACTGTTACTTGTAGGTACCCTTCTCAGTTGAAATTGAAAACTCAAATTAACTTCTCCATACGTGTTTCATAAAAGTAAAGGGCTTAACAGCGGAGAACAATGCTGAACTCAAATAATGCAACTAAATTGTATTCTGGTTGGTCTTCCGTTGCCCGAATTACTATCCGACTATAAACACAAAAATTACATTTCTTAATTACCATGGCTAATCTGATTGGTCCAAATTATACAATTTTCAAAGCGCTAGACAATGACAATCTCACACGGACATTTTGAAAGGTTGATGTTGCTTTTAACTAATGTTAAAATATTTTTAAAAATTCAATTTAAACATTTTTTAAAAATCTTTTTAAAATTAAAGAAATAAGAAATAATTGTATTAAAAATTCAATTTTCATTGAAAAAATTTTTTGCTTTCAGAAAATATTGTCCATATTCATAAAAACAAATTAAAACAAATAAAAGCATTTGAAACTAAATAATATATTTGTTTTATTGAGTTTTGTATGTTACAATTCACAGCTGATTTTCAGTTGTACGTTGGGCAAAAAAAAAACATGATTTGCATTCTTCAAAGCCTTGTGCTTTTAACTATTGTAATCACTAAAACCGATGCGATCGAATTTCTAGAGATTTTCATGAAATTAGTTATGGGGGTGTTAATAAATATAAAAAAAAATATTTCTGCCATGACTTTAATAAAAAAAAAAAAAAATATTTATAATAATTTCGATCATCTGTGAATAGTTTCTGAAAGTTTCATTAACATCTGACAATTATTTTTATTTTTGCAAGATTTTCCAAATTAATGTGTGTAAATACAAAAAAATGCGCTAAAAATTATCTATGTTATTTACTACCCCTTGTTGCGACAAAGAGAAACAAGGTTTTTTAAATCAAAATTTAGAATATTCTAAAAAGATGGAAAATTTTTAAAAAATAATTAAAAAAAAATTTAGTCTATCCTCTTCATAAAAAAAAATAAGCATTTTGACGATAAAATTTTGTTTTCATAAACTTTGCGTCTTTTTCATCAGGCTATGTTCTATGTTTTAGCGATTCCATGGAGTGACTTAGGTTAAAAAACCCAGGTTGTTTGTGTGTGTGTGTGTTCCTTTATATATGGGATCAGATTTCTTACATTTTCAGCCGATAAAACAAACATCCACTTTTTTTTCGGCAGGTAGTATTTTATTGTCTTGCACACTTTTTTTTTTTTATTTACATTCAGAATGCTTTAAAAATTCCATTTACAAGACAATTGTTTATAATAAAATTCTATTCACCAATCGATAGACTCATAACGATTGTAAACAATGTTTTTGTTTGAATTTGGGTTTGACCAATTCGTAAAAAAAAAACTAATTAAGACATGCGTGTCCGTCAACCTTAAACAATAATCTTTGTCAATTTTATTTTTCAGTCTTTATGATGGTCGATACTTGATCTATCTCTTACTGTTACATCCCCGGGCAACGCCGGGCTCTACTGCGAGTCAATTATGTTCAACAACAGTTGTTTGTAAAAGAAAAAAAATATTTTATTTCTATATCACATTCAATAATGAACATAATTTAAATTAATTTCTTATTGTTTGGTTTATCTATTGATTTTCTTTTAAATGTTGTTTTATTTCAGGAAGCAGGAGTGAATGACAAATCCAGGGATGAAGAATCAACCATTCAAGATGAATATAACTATGATGATGATGATTTTGAAGTAAGCTTACAGAATTATTTATACTATTATTATTATTACTTTGTTTCATATGAGGAGAATTTATATCTCCAAGAAAACACAGATATTGCTATAAAAATGAATGATTGTATGTTTAATAATGAAAATAATAAAATATATTTCATCAAAAATAATTTGCAAACTAAATTTTAACTCTTAGCAAAGAATTGAAATAACTCCTGAGTTTTTGAAATTACAATATTCTTATTTGATATAAAATAAGAATAACTGGATTTGTATTTTCTTACTTGGTAAATGGGTTTTTCTTATGTTTTCTACTTAAGCTGAATTTTTGATATTTATAATAAATGTTTCAGTTTAGTACTGTGATGTTGTTTTTATTTCTGTGTTTGATGTAAGATTTTTTTTTCTCTCTGCATCTTTATTTTGCATTGCTTGATCTTCACTTGAGTACTTGTATGCATGTTCAAATAATATATTTGAATGAAATGAATTTTTTATTGCATCATTATTTCTTATTACTATAAATGTTATTTTTAGTGGCTACATATGTTTGAGTTACTATCTCTGTTTTTTTTTTCTTAAATAGTGAAATTAATAACAACTGATCTAAATCTAATAAATAAAAAGCATGCCTCCTGATATTGGTTCAATTCCTTATGGGGGGGTACAATTTTTCTTTAGTAGGAGTTCTTGATCTAGAACAGTTGTTATTAATTTTAGTATTTAAGAAAAATAAAAACCATGATACCAACTTAAAAATGTTTACTCACTAAAAATAAATTTTTTGTGTGTGTGTTTATTTGAAGAGGAAATCTCCACAGGTTATATCAGTTTAAGAATTTCAAGTTATCAACTGACTTCAGTTATCAAGAATTAAAACCCTGTGATAACTTTGTACTTCTATTTTAAAAATATGATTTATTAGTTAATTTAAATTTTTGAATATATTCAATGCTACATAAACATATTTTTTAATGTAAATGTTTGTGAGGCTACATGAATATGGCCTTATATGGGTTCTGAGAATTTAAATAAATTTTAAATTGTGTTCCTAAATTATTAGTGATTTTTGGTAATCATTAGTTCTTTTAATTTAATATAAATAACTTTTATAATTTTTTTTTTTTTTTTTTCAGTTTGTTTTACTAAAAATTATTGTATTATCAAGAAGGAGCTCTTTTATGCTATTGTAACTTTTGTGCTTCTACATTATGTGTTGTATTATGTTTTGGTCAGACATATGACAAGTGAGTCTACAAGAGAAAGTTGTGGTTGTATGTGCAATGTCCTCAGTGGGTACCCAATATGTGTGGCCTCATGCCAGATAAAGCTAATTTTAATAAATATCTCTATCAAGTTCATTTTTCAGTTAGCTGAAAGATTTTAGAACTAATTTAAGAATGTCATGTGCTATTATAGTTAGTTAAAGAATCATGAATTTTATCCAATGAGTCATACCATAAAACAAATTGAAATGGGTTTATACAGATGTACATGTTCACAATACTTAGTTTGTAAGTAGAAGATAAGACAAAACTTGGGCCAAATTTATAGTTTAAACATTTGTCAAAACTGCTCTGCTACATTTTTGTGTAAATTTATATTTAAAAGAAAAATTTTTGAAATATGTATTTTTAAAATTTACTTCATATATACAAACTAATTTCTACATAAATGTACAAGGTGGGCTAAAAGTCACATTTTTATTTCTACATTACATCAGATTTTATTAATTAATTTGATGTTTTTGCAGTTAAATTGGCTTAAACCAAACAATCTTGGGAAAATATTCAGAATATATTTATATAAGCAATATATTATGTGAATTTCAGCTTATATATCCTTATATAAGTTTTATTTATAAATGCAAAAGATATAAGCTACAAAAAAATATTTGATTAGCACATTACGTCATACGATTGATTGGCACAGTATTCCATAAGCATGAATAAATTATTAATTATTTTGCATGTTAATATAATTCCTTGATATCCAATAACCTTCATCAGTCTTTCACACATTGATTTTTAATTATTTTGACTTTAATATTATTGTATCAGTTTTTATTGCTTCCTAGAGATCAAATTTGCTTGAATATTGTTTTCCACACATATATACCTTTCTTTTCATGAAAAATAAAGTTTTCAGTTTTTCTATAGAGGTTGTGGATCATTCAGTTTTGTATCATTTCCATCTTTTTGGCTAAGGTGACAATAGTCATCTTTGAGAAATGTGTAGGAGAATATTTTTTCATGAATATACTCTTTAACTTAAACTTTCTTCAGTGTGACCATTACCAGTCAAAAAACCTCTTGTCCAAAAATTCAGAATGCATATATCCTTGTATTTATTTTAATGTAACTACCAACTTTGAAGAGACCTATAATTTTACTACCTACAATATGAATCTTTGGTTAATACAAAATGAAAATAACTCTTTTTCTTCACTGTTTTCAAATTTGTGTGCATGTGCAAAAATTTATTTTGACCAATAGAAAAAGGGATTGGCTCTGGGCTGAAGAAATGAACAAGGCAAAGTTTAACAAGTCTACATGAAAATTTATTTTGACCAATAGAAAAAGGGATTGGCTCTAGGCTGAAGAAAAGACCAAGGCAAAGTTTAACGAGCCTACGTGAAAATTTATTTGACCACTGGAAAAGGGAGCAGCTTATAAACTGAAAAAAAAAGTAACAATCCAATGTCAAATCATTTTTTGATATAAATAGGCAGAACAAGTTGAATCAAAACAGAGAGAAACAGAGTTCCACATTTGAATAACACCAGTGTCAAATTACATGCTGATACATTATCAGCCTCTAATGAGAGCAGGGTAACTCTCTTCAACTCCCTTGCTATTCATGTTGAATACAACCGTATATCTTTTATGTGAAAAATGAATTCTCTCAATTTGTTTTAAACATTTTGGAATATCACTTTGTGTCCATTGATTCCTTTTCCTGAAACAAGCTACTGACAACTTCAAATGTGTAAATTTGTAAATAAATTCCTTATCTTGTTTTGTTAAATATAACACATGTGTTTCCTTGTCATTATCCCTCAATACTTCAAATTGAAAACTTCTGTTGTCTTCTAAGTCAAGTCGGTTGATTATTTCCTTGAAGGAACCAATTTCTAACCTAATCATTAGGTCCATCCAATGTACCTCTGGATTCATCCCTAAAAATTACTGTTAAGAAATTAGTTTTTATGTACTACTTGGCCAACTTACATATTTCTTTTTTTGGTGTTTACTTAAAGATGGTAGGTTGGTTGCTTTCATATCTCTAGCTAATCTTCTGAATATTCAGCCTCTTTTCTCTGTTTACATTCACAATACCAGTTTCTTTAAATATTAGCAGTCCCATGTTAAGAACAAGCTTGTTTTACATCTTGCCACTATGCAGACACAAGTAAATAACACAGCTTCAAATATTTTCTTACTGGTCAATTCATTTTATTTATTACACTTAATCTTTCTTGGATCTCTTTCTATAGCATTTTCAAAGCCAGTTCTTTTTCTTGCCAATGTATTTCAATTTTTTTTTTTATTATAATCACTTTTTAAATTTCCAATAGAGTTCTGATCACTCATCAATTTTAGAATATCTTTTTTCTCCTTTGGGGTTGCATTTTTTACAATTCATGGTAATCTGAAATTTAAAAAAATGTATCCCATTAACTAAGCTATTATACACATGTATTTAGAATACAAGAACAACCCTCAAATTACATAATAAAATCTCACACTACCAAATAAATAGTGTTTTAAATAAAAACAGATATTAATGGTTAAATTAACTTGGTATATTTTATTATATCAATATATCTTGAAAATTTCACCATTAGTTGATTAATATTAATTTTGGGGGGAAAATATTAATTTTTAGTTACATTTAATGCTTCATTTTTTTTTTTTTTTAAGTTAAGTCAAAAGAACTGAGAAATAACTTTTGGCCCACTCTGTATCTCTCACTCTAAAACTAACCTCTGTTGCATTCCAGATTTCTATTTTCATTCTTATGTGTGAAAAATTAATCCTGTTTTGCTTTGCTGTTATATTTTCTATGTTCTTCATTTTCAGGATTACTCAGAGGATTTTGATGATGACAGCTCATCAGAAAATACCAGCGACCAGAAAGTAAATTAAAATTTATTCTATTACATAGAATGCCAGAAATGTTGCAAAAATGTTAAATTCATTGTCTTCAAATCAAAATCATTATATCTAAATTCCTAAATTTACTTTCTACTCTTTATACAAGGTAATACTAAGCTACTGAAAAGACCTTGATTTTTAAAAAAATTTGATGTTTGGGCATTTGATCAGAATTTGGAAAATTAGTTAGGATGTGGATTTTTCAGCACCTCTGCATATAGTATTCTATTAAAACTGTTGAGTTTAACTTTATTTGGAAGAATAAAAAAAATATTCCATTTGATACAACATACAAAATCTAAGAATTTTTTTCAGAAGTTTTTTTTTTTTAAACCTGTTAGTGTGGCTAATGTTTAAATTACTGTAAGAATGGTTGATGAAATATATTTGTCATTGTATCTTTTATCTCAATTTCAAATGAATTTATTGATTAAGAATTTTTATTCTAGATTGATATTAATATTTTTACTTCCAGAATGCTTGTCATGAAGATATCAAGAACATGGAACATTCATATTTAGTAGGTTTACTTTTACCATTTCTTTTTCAGCAATAATTTGATTACAAAAAAAAAGAAAAATGTCTATTATAATTTCCTGAACTAAATAGATGTATTGACTTCAATCTAAGTTCTATGACTGATTTTAAGATTTAAAAAGGATAAACAAGATTATCCTACTTAATTTTGTTCTTTTTATAAAGCTGTGGTACATCTCTTAGACAATATCAGTGACTCAGTCAGACAAAAATTACTATTCAGTCTTTAAGAAAATCTTTAACTCTCCATTCATATAAGATATATATATCAGTGTTTTTGGTTCCCTCTGTCTTTTCTACAAATATTTTCATGGTAACTGCTTTTTTCCCTAGTGCCCTGACTACATGAATTTAAACATTCTACTAGGTTGGCATCTAGGTCCCACACTTTTACTGTTGAAATAGCTAAATGCAACTGCCACTTCTGCTTCAACAGTTTCTTTTCTGTTTACCTGCTTCCCTGATAACTACAATGTTCAAAATTTAAATACCTCTTCTGTCTTCTTGAATCCTTTTCATCTTTTGTCCTTTCCTCAATCCTCCCTATTCTCAGTCTTCTCTTTCATTCCCAGTAACCCCCTGCATACTAATGACATTCCCGCCTTGCTTGGGGTGAAAAAAGGAAAATTTATAAATTAGACAGTTTGGCACTGGTATATGCAGCAATCTCCTATGAGGTTTATTTGGGTTTATATAGAAAAGTGCAAAATAGCATAGAAATTGTATTGCAATAGAACACATAGGAAAAGGCAAATAAAACCTTTAACACATGACTGGAACACAAGAATAACAATCAAGAATAATGAATTTTATCCAGAAATTGAGAAAGCTGTAGATGTACATTAATGTCTTTCTGAAGAGATATATATATATATATATATATATTGAGATATCATCAAATATTGTAAATGTCTTGAATTTATTTATGCTTATTTTTACTTAATGCTTAACAACTGAAAAGCAAAAATTGAAATCCCACCTCAACTTCCAGTTGCTACTATTTAATTTACTTTCACACTTGGTACAAATCCAATTTTGATTCCATTCTGTCCTATCTTGATCAATGATACATGGCAGTAGCAGAGAAAAGAGTACATTTAATGAATACATGATCAATTCACTCTCCTATTATTTCCTGTAGCAGAAAATAGTCACAAAAATGATTAATGTATCTAGTGTTGATTAAACTCTATTTTAATTATTATATTGATAGAATGATCCTGCTGACCATATAGTCATAACTGCTGTTGATCTGTCATTCCCCTATTCCAGCAATACCAAAAATGTATTATTCTTGGTGTCATCCCTTTTGAAGTGTTTTTCTCTTTACAGTTATCGCATGTCAACATCAGCAAGCTGCAAAGTAACTAGATTCTGTAGTCATTGTGATTTTGCAGAGATTTCAGGTGTGAAATCCTCTGAGCCATATTAGCTTCTTTGCTGGAAACAAATTCTGTTGATGCCTAACAATGAGTTTAATGATAACAAACTGAATTTATAAGTATATAAGGAGTAAAGAATTATTAATCTTGCTATGTAGCTTGGTTGACAGTTTTTCAGCAGGAAAATTATTCAAGCAGTAATTCTTGTCACTTTCTCTCTCTCTTCTCATCAGTCTTGGTATTGGCTTGTTTATTTAAGAATTTCACAAACCTCTGGCATTGATTTCAATAAAATATCATGACCTTACTTTGATACATAGAGGCTCCTTGTAGAATGCTTCATTCCAAAATCTTCTATATTGAACTTGTTAAGCCATAAACATGTTTGATATCTAACAGTATTTTAAATAAACATAGTAAGAATTCTGTTTTGGAATTTGGGAAACTCTAGAAGACCATAAATCTTTTCATACTGCCAGAGGCAATTGGGTATGTTGGGAAAGATGCAATCTTACTAAATCTTAATGAATTCTTAATTTATTTCAGATTCAAATCTTCCCAGTGACTTCTTCAAATTCATTTTATTGCTTCTAATTATTATTTTTAATTTGTTCTCTTTATTTCCTTTTTCTTCTCAATATCCAATTAGGCTCTCTGAGTTGCTTTATAGTTTAATCTTAATTCCTGCTTCAAATTTTCATTAAGCATTCTCACCCTGTTATATTGATTCTAAATTATATATTTATCAATATATAACACATAATAAGAAATTTTTTTTATTTATGCATATTTACCTCTTGTTTCTAGAGTTCGGTTGACAGCAACAGATGGGATAGTGCTCGTGTTTCTTCTGCTGAGAAGTCTTTGTCATCTGTGAATGAAAGGCTTTCTCATCAAGTAATGGACTTTTCCCATGCTAAGATGCAAAAAATGACCCAGAAGAGCAGAAGCAAATTAAGGAGTAGATGGGATGATCTATGCAGTCTCATTGCACTTGATGTGGCTGTAGGACAAGAAATTTTTGAATTGGCCCCTATCAGTGAATATGAACTATACATACGCAATTTTGGAAATGCTAATTCTAATCAGGTAATTTACTTTCCCATGCAAAACATTTATTTGTATTATTTAACAACTACAATATTACATTTTAAAATATATATATTTTGTCAGCAGGTTTTACAGACTGTTTTGATAATCTTTTCTTTGTGAATTTCTCTTGTTCTCACACAATGTAAAGGATGTTTTTCTTCTTATGTAAAAAAAAAAATATCATTTGTCATTTTCAAGAACAGAATATGTTATTGTTTTGAAATTCAAGAAAACTTTTTTCCATCATAGTGTTTGAAGTTTAGACTATTGTTGACATCATTTACAAGACATCTTGAATTATTGAATATGTTTAATGTATTGATTGAAAGTTTGACCCTGATTCTTATTTTTTATTAATAGCAGAGCTAATAATGGATCTGTGAATAGTAAGATAATTTGTGATAGTGTTTCACAGAAGTAGTGGAATAGCTAGTGCAAGGGTCTTTTGCCACCCCACAAATTTGTGATACGGGGAGGGTGTACTACTACATTCAAATTTTCATAAGATTTTTATGTAACCTAATTATATGCAATCATAAATCATATGCAATATAAGTGAACAATTCAACTAGAAAAATTGAAAATAAATACAATGTATCTAAATACAAATTAAAGGCATGTCATAATAGATCATTCCATCTTAAATAAATCAATGTTATGCAGCAATTTTTAACATCAACTTGAAATTTTTCTTATTAAGAAGTTGAATAATTTTAACACATTCAACATTATCAATAAAAAATATTGAATTTTATATAGTGTTTTTTTTTTTTTTTTTTTTTTTTTTTGAGACTTAGCATGAGCAAAACAAATTCACAGATTTGGAATAGAAAAGAGAAAAAAAAACTCCAGAATCTGCCAAAAATTTACATACTTTAATAGCCAGTTGTGTTTAAGTTAATTTGTAATGTATATAAATGTAGGTAAAAAAAAGCAAATGTTGATAAGATAGCGAGAGACACAAAGCACTCCTTATGGGGCCCCAATCAGGCTCCGTCTAGTTGGGTTGTTTGGGGGTACACACCAGCCTTGGGAATACCAAAAATGTTAGACACCAGATTTTTTTTTTTTTTTTTATAACTCCATAGATATTTTTATTACACATCTTATAATGATCATGTTGTGTCTAACACATTGTCAAATAAATATTTAATCACCAAGCAATGCTTTTATTCAAAATGTTTGAATTGTACTACAGTTGGGCCTGAAAGTCTTGTCACCACTTACCTCTCTTCCAAACTAGGAACTCATGTCAGCTATCTGAAATAGAAAATTATATTATGTAGGGGGTTGAAAAGACTTTTGGACTACCCTGTACATTGAGGCTATCAACTTGGCTACTTTACATCAGGGTTACCTTGAACCATACAAATTAGATGTATTTGCCTAGTATAGGTGTTTTACTTATTTGATTATTGTTTCTTGCCTCTTATCAACCTGAGAGTTGATAAGCTGTAAAACAAAACAACCAACCAACCAACCAATCTTATCAGCTTACAAAATGACCTGGTGATCCGAAATCAGAATTTATAAAGAATTTTCTTCTTTCCCTTTTAAGTTTTAATAATTATAATAAGAGGATATGTAGAAAAGTTCTCAGCCAAACCCATTTCCTAAAATCTGGCCAAATGACTCAACATTTGCCCCCTTTTTTTTTCAAAGGGCTTTTTGGTTGGATTGAAAACATTTCAGCACACCATCATATAGGATGACTATCAAATACTAGGGATGGGGTCACCTGTTTAAAATCAATTTTTTCTCCAGTCTAAATTTATAACAAACATCCTTGACTAAATACCAAGAGTAGAATTTTTTCCCCAAAAACTTATATTCTACTTCTAAGATACAACTTTTAGTGTCTTTTGCTTTATGTATTAATTCATCTCAATATCTAGAACCTTCCTATCTCATCAATATTTTTAATAATAAGACTTATGAAAATCAAAGAAATGTTATCTAGTTCTCTTATTTCTTTGTGCTTATCATAAAATATTGCTGATCTAAATTGACTTAAATCAAATTAAATCCCTTAATGAGTTGGTAGATTTTTTTTATAAACTGACTGGAGTTTTCACCAGAAATATTAACTTCATTGTTTTTACCAGAAATAATAACTTCATTGTTTTTACCAACTGCAAGAAAGTTGGCACAAAAATATAGATCATTTCATAAATTTTACATAGGAACTATTTAAACTTTATATAAATTGTAAGTTATTTTTAGCAAAAATATTTTTTGTCCATCACCTGAAGTTGAATTAAATTTCTAGGATGTAATAAAATAATAATTTCCTACAAAAACTAAAAATGTTATCTTTATAATCAGACTGAAATTTTTTGTATTTTAGGTTTATGTCCAAACTGGTGATGACAATATTGACAGAGACATTCAAACTGAAGAAATAGAATGTCTAGATAAGTGGACACAACATCCACCAAATGGAGCAGCAGCTTGTGGAGGTAAGGAAAAAAAATAAAGAAATATCATAATAGTTAAATGATTAATAGTATCTTCCTGTAGGATGTTAATAGATCAATAATGAAATGGTGAAAAAATCCTAATAATTGATAAATTAGTAAAAAATATCAGGTAATTTGCAGCAACTTTTCCAAAGTAATAATTATGTAATCTTTTATCATAAGAAAATGAAAAGCAGAGACTGATTGCATAATGAAAATCTTTCTTGATTAAACAGAATAAAGGATAAAAACTGAATCTCTAAAGAAAAATGTATCAATATTTGATTTGGTCTCTTAAAATATACATTTGTTGGGAAAATAAGTTTGTTATGGATGCTTCAGAAAACAATAATTGTTTTGTTTTGTTTTTTTTACATATAGTTTGATAATAGTTAATACACATTGACACTTGTACATCATACATATTAGTAATTTCTGTCAGCTATTTTAAACAATGTTCCAACTTAAATTAATGCTTAATTGTGAAATGTCTTTCCTTAAATGATTGTTATTTCCTTTTTTTTCTTTTTGTATTTATGTACCAGTACACAAGAAAGTTGTCTGTCAGTGTCAACAATGACGTCCTTACTTCCTCTTATAGAAATTTTCTTTGATTTTTTTTCCTTCTTATAATGATAGACATAGATGGCTTCTGAAAACAAATTCAGAAGCACAACTCATCTCATAAGGTCTGAGGGACTACAGTTCAGTGTCTCATGACTATGGGCACAATGTTGATTGTAGTTTAGTCATCCTCAGTAACCTGGTGGATTATTATGCACTATGTTTGTCAATCAGCAGCCAGTTCTAAATTGGGCATAAACACCACAAAGCTCAAGTGTTCCTTTCAGCTCATCTCTGAACTGTTTTTTTCTGACTTCTAACTGACCAACTGACATCCTTCAATTCTCTATACAAAACCTGACATGGAAGACAGTTTTGCAGCATTCTAATGACATGATTCACCCATCTGAGTTGGCAAGTGATGATCATACACTTAAAGGTAATGATTATAGAATAGGGTCACATAAAGGATGCATACAAACCATGTGATTCCAAAAATCCTCTAAATGCAATGAATATGAAAAGCTTTTAAATTCTTGACTTGACCTCTGGAGTGGATCTCTGTCTGGCTGCTGTAATGGAGACTTGAGAGACAAACTATTCTGTACACATTGACTTACTCTTTATAATCAACTCTGTTAAGAAATGTTTGATCTTTCAGTCTACATGGACAATCTAGCATATCATCCCTCACATAATGAAATTACCCCATTCAGCTCAGCAGATGGCACAGCCCTAATCAAGAATCAACAAGGCATTCTAGACTACCAAGTTGAATACAGTGAACCCTTGAACACTATTAACCACTTGAACTAAATTTTGCTAATGGGTAACCAACTTTACCCCAAATCTGAAGACCTCAGCATCACTCCATCCTTTTAAGAAGTGCATAAGGCATGCATACTCCTCAAGAATAACAAGGTTCCTAGCCCTGATGGAATTCCTGATGAAGTCTACAAATTTTAACAATTGTGCAAGAACATCCTGTCTTCATAAAATGATAGTAATCTTTTGGGAAGGTAACTTTGTTCTCTAATCCATGAAGGATCCACTCCGCATAATAGCCTATAAGAAAAAAAAAAAGAGAGGCAAAGCAGGCTGTGGACATATCTCTATGTTGGACTTAACTGGAAATATATTTGCTTATGCTATACCTGTACAGCTCATCTTACCAGAATCCCAGGATGAAAGGACAGGAGTACTGTGAATATGTTTTTTGTCACTTGCCAGCTACTAGAAAACTAGACTAAAATTTGTTCTTTTCTTTGCCAACCTGGCAAAGGCATTTGAGACTATAAACAGGGAAATGTTTAAGTTATTGAAAAATGTGTCTGCCTACCAAAGTTTATGGTCATTATCATAAATTTTCACAATGAAATATTTGCTCAAGTCTGTGCTGATGGTCTTGTGTTTTTGCAGTGTCAACGGAGGATTCACAGAGATATATTCTAGCCCTAACCATTTTCAGGCTTTAGCACATGGCCACTACTCCTTGTTTGCTTTGAACCATGCACAGATAGCTGCATTGTTATCATTGACTTACATCTGCATATCCAGTTACAGCTTAGTCAAACATTGGCATTAATAATCACTAGTATACAGCCAGTAAGAATTGTGTCAGAACAGACAAAATTTTATGTATCAGTGAGTATAATAAACAAGTTTTGAAGAAGTTAGATTAATAATATAAAATATTCAAAGAATTTACTTTAAATTCCACATTTAATAAAGTTACAAATGCTGTAAAGTTTATGCTGTGGAGTAATTGGACATCGTTAAAGGTAATTGGCAGAAATGCCCAACATACAGAATTGACAAAGTTTGCAGTAGACAATAACAAAAGAAAGAAAAGAACAGGTCAAAAAAATTACTATGCAAACAATATATGCAAGACAAAATTAGGCAAAACACTAATTAGGCAAAAATTTCACAAACTAAGAATGATATTAAAACACAATAGCAATAGTGATTGCAATGTTCTGACTTCAAAACAAGAACAGAAATATAGCAGACTTCAAGACAAGAAAGAACAGAAGTGGCCAATCTTATTTGCTAGGAAGAAATCTCATCATGCATCTGTATGTTTTGTCTATAAATCTGGGGAAGAGGATGTTTTTGCAGTCATCCTCATGTGGATTGGAACCAACTTATGCAAAATACCATTGTAGAGTAAAGTAAATTTTCAAGAAATATGCTGATGCAAGAAGGGAAATGTTACATTCAAGTGTAGATTGTAAAAAGAGTTTGTAAATTACACCACTGACTCTGATTTTATACCGACAGAGTTCTCTCTAAACTTTCAACAGTCTGATTAACTTTCCCAAATTAGTACCAGTGGGACAATGATATATTTTATGTATGAATAAAATATTTAAGTAAGTGTAAGCATATTCAACTAAGTGTATATCAGTCTGGGCAACCTACATGAATTTTTTAACTGAACCCTTTATTTAATCTATGAGGGTAGATTGTTCTCATTCCATTGTCCAAGATAAACAAGATATCCCTAGATCTAGATATTTAACCCTAAATCTGAGATTCTATAAAGTGTACAGTTTGAAATTGACTGTAGGTTACCTGGATCAAAATGTTATTATAACAATAACAATATGAGGACAATAGTCCACATGTAAATAATATAAATTCTTCATCCTAGAAATTGAGACAGAAAATATTCCACTGGTTTTCTTAAATAAGAAAAGTGGCCAAGTATTTGGTATTTTGGTATATGATTTTTTTAATATTTTTTTTACTTCTATCAATATTGTACATTTTAAAATAAAAATTTACTGTATTATGTTTTGGATTTTTATTTATTGTTGAGTATTATGGGCATAGAGAATATATTAGCAAGACATTTTAGCTTGTTGCAGTTCAGGTAGAGAACAATCAAAGTAAATGAATTCAACATTTTCAAAAGAAAAAATTCAACACATGGAGAATGTTTATGCATATATTTTATAAGAACATCATAACTCACAAAAGAAACAAAAGAAAAAATTATTTACATGCATACAGATAAATCAAAAAAGGAAAGAAAACATTTATGTAGTTAACCATTGCGTGTGCATGTGCACGGGTGCATATTATGTGGTTGGATTGAAATTTAGATAGCTGTCAGGCAACAAAGTTTTCCCAGAGGTGAAGATTGGACATGTCTGCTACCTACTGTTATATTGGTTTAATCAAGATCTCTTTCTAATTCACAAATACATTTACATAAAAAGTATTATCTTGTTTTAATTATTGCAGGTAACAATATTCAGAACTTCAACCAAACTGATTTTGCTGCCAAATCTCAACTGCATGACTCAGCAAGATTAAACAAATTTCTACTTGAAGCTGCACAGGTGAGAGATGGCTACTTCAACTATAGATCTCCACCAAAAATAATAACTATAAAATAGCTTGCTTCTCTTGTTAATTTTGGATTTTACAAGAAATACAAATCTAAAACTGTTTAATGGAAATGTTACATACAAGAATTAATTATCCTTTTAATTTTCATCCTTAAGATTAATAAAAATACCTTTTAAATTATTTATATTGCTGGATGGGTACATCAATAAATTTATAGCCTAATAGTGAAAAAGTGTTTATTTTTAAACATCATATTCCTTTTTAATGCACTTACTTCAGCTGTAAATATTAATCACATAGATTAAATATTATACAGTGAAAATAGATCAAAATTCAGTTAATAAGCTCATGTCAAGCTGTGAACTTACTGATCTGCTTTCTTATGCATGATTGTTCAAATATATATATATATATATATATATATATATATAATCCCAAAGAACCTTAACAAAAAATAAAAACAACATTACTTGAAAACTTGACAGCAACAACAAAAATGAGTAGCACATGTAACTAGAAGAAAAAATAATGATGTACTCAAAATGTGGACTTGAAGTTTAATTTTCTGAAAATTCTGTTTTAAGAAAATAGATTTTATAAATTTCAACCAACAATAACACTAACTGTTTGGTCAGTGAATGTTGAATGTTTCCTATACAGAAATGGCTAATTTCACCATTACCATTATGATTAAATTTAAAATCATAAACCTTCTTGCAACAAATTTTACTTTTGGACTCCATGTATCCAACAATAAGCTGTTAAAAACTGTTCCTAAAATATAATCAGGTTATAGGAGGAGGTAAATTATTAGTATCTCATCATAATAGTATTTCAGGCTTAATAAAATGTTTTGATTGAATTTAAACTAATATTATGTAACAAGTAATGTACCCAACATTATCATATTTCAAGTAATATCTACACTGATCTATTATATTGTTAATAATCTGTATCTTGTTTTTTTTATTGTTTTATTTTGTTTTGTTTTTTTGTTACAGGTGATGTCAATATTGTTGGAAGAAAATCTCTCTTCTGATACCCACAATCTGACACATGAAAAGTCTTCACAGTTGCCTTTCAGCAAGAGTTTTTTCACACTATCATCCTGTCCCCTCTTTCAAGGTGATTTTTTTCTTCTTTCTATCTCTCTGGTTAGGATGTGTGGGGAGTGTAATGGATATTTGACTCAGAATGAGAAATCAGATTAGTTTGAATTCCAGTCAGGTGCGCTACATTCACTTACATGCAAATACTCTTGGGAAAAGTATTAATCCATCTCTTCTTCCCAGGTAGAACTTGTAAAAGAAAAGCATTTTTATTCTCAAAAATATATTGTTGATGCAACATTCACTTACAAAAGAAAAAATTCTTACAATCCAAAAATATGTTTTGGTTTTAAATGACAGAGTTGATAAACCATAAAAAATCATCAATCACTCTGTCTTGCTTTCTGATTATTTTGAGAACACATGGTGTATTTGGGGATATTATTCAAATAATAAATTACATTAATTTTGGCTTTCATTGTTTAAAAAATCTACAAAAACCTTCCTCTTTGTGTTTTTTTCCTTTACTCTTTTTTTTGAAAATGCTTTTCTCTTTCTGATAATCAGTTTGATTTTCCCTTTTCCCTGTGTTAATTAATTCATTAATTTTTCTGTTTCAGGAAAATTGTTGACAATAAAACACAAAATTTATTTGAAAGTAAATTAAAGTAATTATGGATCTATTTCCTAAATCTTTGTGTTCATCATGTTCTGAATAAACAAACACCTAAAATTGTTACATGCAATGTACAAACTTTTTTATGTATCAGTAATTATAAAGCCACCAATTTCAACAACTGATAGTTCAGTATCTGAATTAACGTGAACAAAATTATAAGAGTCTAATTAAAATTCCCATAAATGATAAACTAATTTATATAACAAGCACTGAGCTTTAAATTTTTTGAGATTTTTCATTACATTTAATATTTAGAATAGATTCTAAAATATTCAAGTTAAGCATGAATGCCTGATTTCTGATCAAAGAAGTTTAAGCTGTTGAAAAGAAAAAACACTATTTCAGTTGTAGGTTTTTAACCTTATAACCAGGTGTAGGCTTGTTATTCCAGTCACTAAATGCAGCATCACACATTTTACCTTTACTGTAGTAACTTCAGAGTCAAGAATCCTTTTAATTTACAACTATTATATTGATAGAATATCAGTTGTAAATGTCTGCTTGATCATCCCCACTCTTTTCAAAAGTTGGGATTGTAATCTGGTGGGTTTTTTCATGGCTGCTACAATGATCTGCTGTTCTTCATATCTGCGTGGAATTTCCAAAAATGTATATAACTCAACCTACTGGCAATCACTAATAATGTATTGGCATGATTTGGTCATTAATTTACACTCTCTAAATGTTTTCTTTGTTCTGGGAGACACATGGCCAAGTCATCACTTGACTTAGTTCTGTTAACCTGATTTCTGAAAAGTATTCTTACAAAAAAAACTACCACAAATATGTATGTAAACAAACTACATAGTCTGTTGGTTAAGTTTTTTTCTTCTTTTTTTATTCCATTTCTACTAAATTATTTTGCTAAGAAACCAAAAATCCAGTATATAAGTTTTTATATAAACAACTTAATTATAGGGGATTTTAGAGATAATTCTTGATTTGTGCTGAGGAAATGATTTATTACTTGTCATTGTTTCCACCTTATTTGGTGAGTGTATACAATGCTACTGATTTATCTCCAAGTTTATTTTCAGGTAAAATTCTTTAATAACCTCTTAACCTTTCTAATTTCTTAAAACTAATTAACTTTCTTCACATTTAATTCCAATAATCATTAAATTCAGTTACGGCTTCTCTCGGGTTTTTTCATCAATTCTCTGCCGTAAAATTAGTCTTTTTTACATTTAACTCTGTTTATTGACCCCTGCCAAGCCTGCTTAGAGTGCTACACACCTCTCATGAATGGGTTATCATAGGATGTCGCATTGGTTTATCAAGAGTTAATAAAATGAAGGAACAAAGAAATAAAATATTGAAGCAATTGCAAGAATCAAATAAATTAAAAAAAAAAAAAACTATCACAAGCAAGTTATTGAATTTGAAATAACTCATTTGATCTGTCAAAATCATTAAACAAGAAATTTGGAACTATAGACTCTAGAAAAACTGTTCAACTTTTCACAAACTGTAATCCTTGCATGATTGCATTTAACCCAATGTCATAAAAAAGTACCAAGCACTATGGCAAATTATTGGTTCTCTGAAGGTTATTGTTAATGATCAGTCATCAGAAGTCCATGTGATCAATGCCAGCATTCCTTGGAGTTCTCTCTTCTGTCCTTCTGCTATAGAGCAGACCTGTCTAAGAATACACTTTGATCTTTAGTGAATATCTATGTGGATAATACAACATTTTAAAGGTGTACTTCCAAAAATTAAAATGACCAGAACCTGGCAACTCCTCTCTCCTTTAACCTTGCCTTGGTGGCCCAATGGGTGAAGGACTGGCTTATAAAATTCAATACATCCAAAACCAATCTAGTAATGTCTTACTATCACTGAGTACACCCTGAATCTTCACTTATCATGATGAATGGGTGTTCTCTCATGGTGGCTTCTTGTGTTGAATATCTATTGGGACTCATGCTCACCCCAGACCTCAAGTGGAAATCATATATATAAAAGATGCTGGATGCTGGGAAAATGGTTGGTTCAATGTACCACTCCAGTAAGTATCTGACTTCTGCTATACTCTATCATTACAAGAGCCGGATCAAACAAAAAATGGAGTATTATTGCCATATTTGCACTGGAGCTTCCCACTCCTCACTTGCCTATCTTGATAGAGTTCAAAAACGTCTACCCAGCCTTGTGGGTGATAAAATTTTACACTCTACATCCTTTTTCCCACAGACTAAACATCACAAGCCTCCTGTTATTCTATCACTATTTCCATGGCAAATGTTCTGATGAGCTATATTCCTTGCTTCCACCAGCTTTGACCTTTGCAAATGGGATCTGCCATGCCACATACACAAGTGTGAATCATCCTCATTCTCTTCATATTCCATTAGTAGGTAAAAAGTAAGTTCCACTTCTCAAGAACTGCTGTTTTGTGAAACAGGTTCCCATTGGGTTGTTTTCCTGACCACTACAATTTTAACATCTTCAAGTCTAGGGTTAAACCATTATCTTTCCTACATAACCTCATGAAATACACTTCTTGCCTTTTCTTGTGCTCATACAACACTACACAGTAACTCTCTACTTTTTAGTGTCTCTTGGGCTTTGTATTGGGTGAACATTAGTATAAAAAAGCCTAAGTACTGGGTAATTGAAACATCTTACTCTCAATTAGGAAAAGGTCAAACTGACAGAATTGAATGAATTGCCCTATAAATGTTTTGTAATGCATCTGTAACAAAAATTAGTTCTCATTACAGGTCACAGTATTTTTTGTTCATAGTTTTATTTTTTTTAAAGTTACATTTATTTTTCAACAGAGCATACAATTGACTGCTGCTGTTTTGCAAATTCAACACATACAGATATTTTACTTACTGTCCATAACCCTTCAGTGGTCACAATAGTAAGTACATATTATTTTTCCTCAATTCTCAAGTCAAAAACATTACACATCAAATAATGGAGCTATACTAATCTATTCATTTTGGGATGTCATGTGAATACTGTATACAAGTATATAATGTTTTTGTATTCACCCGTCAAAACTATCAGAAACAAGTGAAAATTCAACATAGTCTGCACAATATGGTTTTATTAGTTATTAGTCCCAATCTATTTCAATGACTGCTAAGAACATACCCCTTTCTAAATTTATCGACAAATCCTGCAGATGTATGCTAGGATTTCTTCCTAACCAATAAAAATGGACCCATTCTCTGTCTCATCCGCCATATTCTTTTTTAGTTCTTGTCTTGAAGTCAGAACACTATAATCACTTGACCATGTCTCTTTTGCGTGTGAACACAATTCTTACTTTGTGAACAGTAGTGATATGTAAATTAACCAATTAACATAGCTGGAATACCCAGGCTAATTAACTATTCTGATTAAGAGAAGAGGAACTGCACATGAGCATTGAGTAACAACATGAAGGACTTAGGATTTCACAACAATGGCATTGCTGATAGAAAACACTTTATCATTAGAGAATCCTGATTTTGTGGAAACATGGATAAGAGCATTTGCGGCTAAAGTGAGGACTAAGAAATTAAGAGACAGCAAAGAAATGTGAGAAGAAAATTAAATAATTGATATTTTTTTAACCACAATTGGGGTCAAAGCCATTATGAAAATTTCAACTATGGCTCACCCAATGCAAAGTTTCACTTTTGATGAAATAAGTCAGATAATACAGAAAAATATGCAAGGAAAAAAGAAGCTAGTCATTGCAGAGAGTAAATTTCATGAATACGAGACAAGTTGATAAACCAGTTACAAAATTTTACTTTGTCTAAAAATGCATCTCAATATTGTGAGTTTCAAAAACTCAGAAAAGAAAGCCAAACGACTGATGAAGAACTAATTCAGATGAGGTTAATTGATGGACTGCATAATGGGACACATTGCTATAGAATGTTAGAACAATTACAGGTAGGGAACATCTTTGTCTACCTGCATTAAATTTATTCAACAAATAAAAAATTTAATGTCAGAGTACTGACCAGATTATGTAGAGGTTGCTGAAGAAAATTGTAACAAAATTCAGTTTACGTGGTTATGGACACAACCTGAAGAGAAATGTCCTGCATTTAGAAAAGAGTTTAAAAATTGTCTAAAATGAACCATTTTCAAGTGATGTGCAAATTTAAAAAAAAAAAAAAGTTTTATTAAAAAGTCATATAAATGATTTGCTATTGGACATGCAACATAACATTGATCCCAAGAAACTTTTAGGAGCATATAAGCAAACCAAAACTACATAAGACCCATATACAGCTACAGAAATTCAATGGGTCAGTTATAAAGACGTTGAGATATTTTGAAGGTTCCGTAGAATTGAAAAACAAATTCAAAATATTACCCATCATTGTTGTAGATTGGAAAACAAATCACGGACTTAATGGAAATGATATACTTAACATGAATTACACAACATTAATTAATGCAGTAAAAATGGAAGAAACAGGCATGTTAAAAAACTACAAAGTAATCCTAAAGTTAAAAGAAAATGTTACCCCCCTCCTACTATTAGACACAAAAACTACCAATACATTTTTTACTATTAGTAGTAGCAAAACTACAGAAATTGGTTGAACAAAACCTACTGGAACATGTTCATCCTGGTGGAAGCAAATAGATGTTCCCAATTGTAGTTCTCAGAAAATTACATGGAGACTTACACATATGATATGATTATAAAGTAGGTGTCATAAAGTATGCTCAGATTCATATCCCATACCAAATGTGCAAGTAGCCTTACATTCCTTAACAGGAATGGATATTTTTACCAAAATAGATTTACAAACTGCATATCCCCAGATACCCATAGATGAAAATTTCAAAGTAATAACAACAACAATTTTAGACTGGAAAAGAATGCCTCATGGGATAAAGACTGCAAGTGCTATTTTTCAAAAGGCTATTTAACAAGTCATAGGGAATGACATTTGGTTTATTATCAAGATGATATATGCATAGGCACTATCAATGAAAGAGAATTAAAAAGGAAAACTAGCCTCATTTTAAATAGGTTGAAGAATACAGGAATGAAAAAAAATGCATACATAATAGTAACAAAGTATCATTTCTGGGATATTCCATTTCAAAAGAAGAGGTGTCACCAGATCAAGCATTAATAGAAAGTAGCGATACCCACAAATAAAAAAGAACTAGAATCTTTTTTGGGATTAGTAAACTTTTATCAGAGATATGTACCATGTTTATACAGATTTAACCAAGCTGAGAAAAAAGAATTTTGATTTTGTGTGGACAAAAGAAAGGCAAATTGCTTTTGATAAGCTAAAGTCCAGTATAGTAGGGTCAGTTGGGAACCATCTGTGAGAAAAAGAGTGCTATGAGACAATTCACTCCACCAGAAATTTGGAAACAGCATGTTGTACTGCTTGGCATTCGTGTCAAAAGCTCCAATACAAACATTCAGAGTGTTCGAGTGTTAATCTGAGGACAGTACAGAGGCTTAAAAAAGAGCTGAATGAGTTTAATGGCAATTACAAAGGTACAGCAGCTAACTCACTCTGATTGTTCTGACAAGAAAAGAACTCCTGAATTTGTTGGTTAGGGCCTCAGACTCAACATGGAGACCTACATCAAGTGCCTTGAGGAGGTATTGCTGCCCTGGATAAAGAGGGTGACTGCTGGAAGACTCTGTCTGGCAACAGGACTCTGCATCATTCCACACAAACAGGAAAACCCAGTCATGGCTGTCAGACAAAGTCTACAACCACACCACCCATTACATCTGGCCATCTAACTCTGCAGACTTGCAGCCCCCTTAATTATTATGTATGAGGCGCAATCGAGTAAGAGAGCAACAAAACTCCTTGTAACACCAAAGATAAACTGAAAGCAAGGATTATGGCAGTATTTATAAACTTAAACAAAGAGACCGTCCAGAAGAGTTGCAGGAGATTCTTAAAGTTGTTTGGAGGCCATGATTGAAACCAATGGCGATTTTCATATTTCAAGATATTTTTGTGTAATTTTGGTAAATATATCTGTTAAAATGAGTTGTCAGTATTATTTTCATTTCTTTCGTAATTTAGACAGCAGTTTATCCATTGCACCCTGTATATATCAAGAAGATTGACAAAAGCTGAATTTAATTATTCAAATATCAAAAAAGAAGCTTTCACAATTATTTGGGCAACAACTACAACCCGTCAATTCTTAACTAAAAGAAATTTCTTAGGTCTGATCATAGACCATTAAAATTAATATTCAATCTGAAAAAAGAACTACCCAAAGTCACAACATCGAGGATATTAAAGTGGGTGATAATATTGATGGCTTTTGAATTTGCTATAGAATATCTCAAAGGAAATATGATACCTCATATGGATGCATTATCAAGGTTGCAATTTCAAAAGTCATCAAAAGATAATGCAGAAGAGATTTTTGAGGGCACCTTTTTATATTGGGTAAAAACTGATATTTTATCTACAGATAGAATGACTGCAGATACTACACAAGACACAGGACCAAGCAGCATAATATCTAGAAGAAAAAATAACAAATGGAGTAATTGCTCTAGGGCAGAAAGACAGTTCAAAGAAATAAGACATGAAATAACAATTGAGAATGGAGTAGTTTATAATGGCAATTTAGGGATCCCTCCAGAAACAAAGAGAAATCTGGTAATAAAAAGTATACATGACAACATACACTGTGGAGTAACATCCACACAAAAAGGCTAAAGTTAGAAGCATGGTGGCAGGGATATTCTGATGTGAAGGAATATATATTAAAAGATGTCCAAGATGTAAAGAAATAAGGAACTTTATGCAAAATAAATTACATTCTTGACTTCAAGAGTCAAACAATGGAATCATGCTCACATGGCTCATGATATGCCAGTGGAGTTTCTCTTAATAATATTAGTGAACTCTTTTTCAGGCTGGCCCAAGGTAATTCATGTGCCTGACAGAAGTTTTACTGTAAAACAAATTTTAAGAGTTATATTCTCCAGAAACAGGATACTAAAAAACTCTGGTGTCCAACAACATCCCAGAGTTTTTCAATGAAGAACTTAATTTGTGGCTAAGGAAAATAGGATGTATGCCTTACAAGATACATCCATATCATCCTCATTTGAATGGGATATTAACAGAAAGGATGGTACAAATGATAAAGATGGGCTTGAAGGCATGTCCACAACAGAAAGAGAATGTAGATGTTTTTTTTTTGGTGGGGGAGGGTATTACCCAGACTACTTTTTTTAAGTTATCGCACCATAACACACACAGGAGTCCACCAGCTTTAATGGGAAGACAAATCAAAGCTCCTTTAACCATGTCATATTCTATGAATAAGAATATGTGACACAAAAAAAATAAGGAAACACTCCTAGAAAAGGAAAATGTTTTTCATGCAAAAAGGACACAACACAGCTGTAATAAGAAAAAAATTAGAGTAGTATACTAGTTTAGTGATTAGGTACTTCAATCATTAAATGTGTAAGTTTTCTTACGGGGAACATTTTATGATACATGAAATAGTTGTAGTGAAAAAAAAAGTACATGCATAAAATTGTGACGGGGACACCTGGTCAAGGTTCGAAACCTTTGGTTACGGCGCCAACTGTGACGTCGCTCCTCCTGGTCGCTCTTCGCTGTTCCAAATGTGCCGTTCCAACCCCTTGGTTAGATGATTACCAGCCTCGCCTTTCTCAACCCGCTTCCAACACCTGGTTACTAGGGTAACTGTACTGATCTCCGGTCTGTCTACCCACGTTGTGATTAGATCTTAGACAGACGGGATCAAACAGGGATTGGGGCCGTATGCAAGTTGAGTCCGACGGGGTGGCAAAACACAAGTAAAAGAAAAAACTCACGAGACAAAAAAATTACTGATAAAAAGGGTAACAACCTTTTATATCTAATGTTC